ATAAATAAATAATGTTTAATTCATGCAAAGGAAAGCCAGACAGACCTTTCAAATAGTGAGTTATATCACTCAGATTCTTAGCTCATGCACCTGGGAAGCAAAAACAGTGAGAAGAAGGGTCCTATGACAAGATAAAGTCCCAAAGGGCACACCCCCAATAAAGGACTTCCTCCAACTATGTCCTATCTGCCTATAGTTTATACCATTTCCAGGTAGATTATTTCAAATTATTAATGCATTAAATGGATTAATCCCTGATGTGGTTAGAGATCATATGATCTGATCATTTTCCAAAAAAAAACTGTACCTCTGGACATTGTTGCTTTGGGAACCAATGCTTTAACACATGAGCTTTTGGGGGACATTTCAGATCTAAACCATAACACATATTAATTACAACTATAGCAAAAGTCATCTAGGAATAAACAGAAATGTGAAGGTTTAATGAGGAAAACTGTAAAATGCTATTAAGGCATATATGTGTCCTCACACATGTATGCATACACAAACCTTAATTAAGGTAAAGCTGTACCTGATTCTTAGAGGAGAAGAAGGAAATCTTTAAAAATGAATCAGCACCTCCAAGTGCCAAAGCATATAAAGGCATAGCAATTTCTGATGGCAGCTGAGATACCATCAGGCTACACTAGAGAGTTGGAAATTAAATTCAAACAGAAATTAAACACATGCTACAAGAAGTATTTAAAACCAATGAGGGGAAAGGAAGGAGCAAGTGAATGGAATTGGGGGAAATGGTGAATGATTTCAGATTTCAGAAAAAAATGAAGCTAAACCTCATCTCCAAAGTTAATTCCAAGTGAGTTTTGGAATGAGAAAATGCTATAGAAACAAATTACAAACTCCAAATGGCATGAAGGAAAAATTCAGTGAATTAATTTGCCTAAAAATAATACTTTCCATTGGGAGAAAAATAAAATACAAGTGCAAAGTAAATATTTTGCAATTTGTTAAGCAGAAAAATGCTCATTGTCTTAATATATAAATTTCACAAATACATGACAAGATGTTGATAATTCCTAGAAAAATTTCCAAGAAAGAAAAATATAAATGATTGCAGATACACAAAAAGAAGACCAACAACACTCATAATTAGAGAATACAGAGTCAAACAACGAGTTAATAATTGTCAATTATCAACCAGGCAAAAATCAAAAGGTTTAATACATTATCACAGAAGTCCTGGCAAACAGGCATTTGTATACACTAATAGAGGCAGTTTAGTTCAAATTCTTTTAAAATGTTTTGACAGTGTTTACCAAAATGTAAAATTTATATACTGTTACAGAAATTCCCGTTGTATAAAGATGACCCCCAGATATGCTTACATACATGAAAGCACATAAAAGTTCACTACAAATTAGTTTTGTTTTAAAAAGAAAAAAAAGAGAAGGAAGGAAGGAAGAAAAGAAATAAGGCAAGAAAGATTGATTTGGAAACACCTACATGTCCACCAGAATGAACCACTTGAACAGTGTTAGGTTCTATAATAAAATATTCTGCCCCCACTTCCCATCTTGGTAAAAAACGTAAATAAAAAAACACATCTGCTGAAATGAAGCAATGCTCCCATGTGTCAACAAATACACTTGTGCATGCAGAGACAATTTCTGGAAATATACACCCACCAAAATTTATAAAAGTCATTATTCCTAAGCAGAAAACTGAGGTTTTGGCAGTAAAAGGAAAAATGTTTTCTTCTTTCTTTTTAAATTATATAATCCCTTACACAGTTTGAATTTTTACTACAAGCATGTTTTCTCTGTATAAATATAATACATGCAGCTATTTGCTGTTGTAAATTTTGGCCTATTGGTAAGAAAGGGCAAATTGAGAAAAATTATGTGAGAGGAATTTTTTGAACCAGACAGCTTCAGGATTATCATAATTAATTGACTTTCAAGAAGACTCCATTAAAGCTGGGCATGTCCAAAGTGTTTTGAGGCAAATCTTAAGAAAAACAAGAGCTGGGTATGTGGCTCATGGTAATATGTTTGTCTAATGAGGTCCTGGCTTTGCTCCTCAGCAACACACACACACACACACAAACAAACACACACACACATATTTCATAAAGGATCTGATTAATGGAAGTTCTTAATTATTGACCTGTGTCTGAGCTTATGCAGGGTTCTATAAAGAAAATCCAAGAAACTAGGTAGTTTATAAACAACAAAAATTCATTTAGTAGCCTCAAGGTTAGGGAGTCTAAGATCAAAGAAGATTCAGTGTCTGATGAAGGCCTGCTTGCTGGGTCATAGATGGTACCTTGTCACTCTGTCCTCACATAGTGCATGAGGCAAGATGTCTCTCTGAAACATTTTTCATAAGAGCACTAATCTTATTTGTAAGGATTCTGCCCTCATAATCCAATCATCTATCAACCAACCTTATCTGCTAATATCTCCACTGCTGTGACCAGTGTGGCCAAACTAGCAGGTTCTGGCAAGGGGGGATGAGAGACTGGACAAAAGAAGACTCACACATGCTGATCTTGAAGATAAAACTTCGAGGATCAGATGGAGCACTGCTCTCTGCTGGAGAAACAGGCCTAAGGAATTACACCAGCAATCCTGATTAAAGACTATGCAAGCATTATTCTTTGTATTCATGAAAGTTACAGAGTTAGTATGGGTATGCAGCTGTTTCCTCAGTTACATTCTACAGTTGCAGTGTGCAATGTTAGGAGAATTGTGGAGCTCTCAAGAAAGTCCATAGTTTAAAGTTATTAATTCGTGGGCAGATTCAGGAACAGAGGAACTGGTGAATAGTTGTGGTTGTCTTAGCAAGGAAGTCCCTTCATTCCCAGGAGCTATGTGCCAGAGAGCAAGGTTGAAGCTGATAAGACTATAGCAACAGTGTCTCCCCATGGAGAGCATTGCCATAGCAACCGGGCATCCTACACCTTTGCACAGAAACTTTCCCAGTCACAAGCATACCACAGCCATGAAGTCATCAGGGATCCCAGCCTCAGACACTGGTCTCCCAATCACTGTCACTGTTCTCGACACTCCGCCTTGGTGATTAGACTTCAACATATGAATTTTGGAGGGATATAATTATTCTGACCCTAGTATCCTATTCTCATAGATGAAGAATTGAAGCAGGAGAGTGACTTTGTGAAATTTGAATTTTAAAACAATCACTTTTTAGTGAATAAGACTGACTAAAATAGGGGCAGACTGGAGTCAGGGAGACTAGTTAAGAGGTTATTTCAGTGGTACAATGAAAGTTGGAGAAGACGAGAACAAGTGCTGTGGCAGAAGACAAAGGAGGGATAAGTGAGGGTTCATAAAGGGGTAGAAATGGTAGGACTTATAGGCTGGGTTCATAAGGGGGTAGAAATGGTAGGACTTATAGGCTGGTTTCATATGGAACAGGAAAATTCAGTTTTCAATGACCCTAGGTCCCTGGTTTAAGCAGCTGGGTGAATGGTAGTATAGTAAAAGGTGGGGGAAAAAAAAAGAGGAGTAGCAGGTTTGGGGAGGTTAATGAATGTATCTCCTCTTCCTTGGTCTTCCTGATCCATGGGGTTGGGTATAGATAAGGGCAGATGTATGTTTGCCCAGGGGTGGGAGTGAGAGATGGTGGGATAAGTCTTAATCTGTGACCTACAATGAATGAGGCTCAAGGGAAGAGAAATACTCTGTGTGAATGGTGAGTTCTGGAAGGAGATTGGCTTCATTAAAATAATGACATATTTCTGTTAGACTAAAAGGAAAAATACAGGAGATAGGTATCCCTATGTACCAAGTTCATGGCACCTGGTGATTCAGTGAAAGGAGGCTGGGAGGGCTGCCAGGGAGTGGCATTCAGGATGTGTTAAGTCAGCCCAAGAAGTTAATTCCTATATCATGGGGAAGAAACATGCCTCATCTAGAAATATGCAGAGGGTTTCTTTCTGCAGATTTCATGTCTTAATCCCACAGAGGTTTGGCATATCTAGTCTGGGGCTTACCTGGATAACTGGATTGGAAGTAGGAGAAATGTCTTGGGATAAAAATCAGGATTCTTGGCTTCTTGCATTGGCACTGCCACTAAGTGTTTTTTAACTTTGGCAAGTCATTTAAATTTGTGTTGACTCAAAATCTCCTTCTATGAAATTAGATTAAATATGAAACAACTATAATTTTGGCAGTTTATGTGGATGAGGAGTAGACATCCTAATTTTGAGGAATCTGGGAAAACATCCTGGATTTAGTAGCAAACAAAATCTTTCTCTGGATCTTAAATTATTAGATGAGGTGAAGGATAAGGAGGCAGGGCAAGGAGAACCCATCAGAGTAGAGGGCTCAGTATTAATAAGAGCTTTAGACCAAGAAATGGAATAGTACTTTTAGAAAGAATGCAAGAAGTTTGATTGACTTCTAGATCATAAATTGGTGAAAGACATTTGCTTCTTCAGTCTTTTCAATTAATTTCAAATAAAGTAAATATTGTGTGAAGTGTCAACACTTCACAGAAGCAGTCTGGGTCTTAGTTACTTGCCTGGAGTTACTTAATTTGTAACTAGTAGGACTAGGGTTTGTGTGCTCCAAACCTATTTTAACTATTAATTTTTACCACTTTCCCATATTAACACACCAAGATGGGGTGATGGGGTTGCAATAAGAAAGGTTTACTTTTCTCAATGTATTCAGAAGTTTACAGTTTGATACCAGCTCTTTGAACCTAGAGAGAAAGGCCATAGCGAGAAATGTTAACAGTGTGAGTCATTAGGTATATAGGCTTTGGACCACAAACATTACTAGTAAAACTAGTCCATAAGTCAATACATCACTAATCCTGATATCTACAATACTAGTTTCCTTTAGAATTCATCCCAAATTTAGATATAAAAGTTATATATACCACATTTGGTGATTTTAATTCTTCATTACAGTCCTGAACCCTCCCCCTCAAAAAAGCAGATTTCTTATTCTTTGACTCTAATTCATACAGAGCAATTCCATTGTAGAAAAATCATGTTTTTTTTTTTTCAGGGAACTGGCACAGGTTTGATCTTTCCTGGAATCCTCCTTCAAGTGTACCTGCCACATGGTAAGTTGTGCTTTTTGTTCTAAGGTCTTTGACATTTGGATCTCTCAGGTTCAACACAATGTCACTAAAGGGCTAATTTTATTTTTCTGTCCCGCTCATAACCTATTGGTCTCCCTGAATTTGGAAAATTCATCTGTCCTAGGAAATTCTCAGTCATTAACCTTTTAGATACTATCTTCCACCCTTTCTCTTTTTACAGTCAGAAGTAAGATAGATATTCTTATATTATTCTCCAAGTCTCTTACCTCCTTTTTGCATATGCTATATTTTTATCTCTTTGCTGCATTTTAGATAATTTCCTTATATCTCTAGCTTAATCAAATCTATTGATTAAACTATTCTATAAGTTTTCACCTTGTATGATTCCATCTTTAGAGCTGGCAAGGTAGCTCAGTAGTAGAGCACTTGCCTAGCATGTATTAGGCCTTGGGTTCAATCTCTAGCACTACAAAAGACCCCAGAATATAATATTGTGTTTATTTCTAGAGGTTACCTCCCCTCCCCTCTTAATTTGTTATTCCTTTTATTGTTACCTGCTTGGGCTTTCCCTAAAAAGTCTACTTGGTCTTCTTGTATCTTATTAATTTCTTGTGTTTCAATTTATTCTTTAGTGTCTAATGATTTGAACCCTATTTATAATGGACTCCTTTGTTGATGTTAACCTTTTTAATTTAGAGATGCTGTTTATTGTGGGTTTTGACTTCTAATTAGGGCAGATGGTTCTTCAGAAGTGTGACTTTTGACTATGAACTTATCTTCAGCATGGTTTCACTTTTGAGATTTCTATGAGGTCTATGTTGAAGGTATGCCCTTAGGGCAGGTTTAATTTCATTTCTTTCAGACATTTATATGGGCCCCTTTATTCTCCCAAGGAGTTCCAAGACCACATAGGTACTATAAATGAATCCAGAAGCTGCCTGAGAGTAGACTCTTGGTGGAGACTTAAATGTTTATTTTTTGAGACAGATGAGCTGCCTTATTATAAACCTGTGTTCTTTAGTACATGTGTTCCTGTTAAAGATTCTGATTTTATACAAGGATCTTTGTCATAATACTCTGCCTTGCAAAGATCCATAACCATGCCTTCTTTTCTATTGTGGGATTAAAATGTCAACATCTAGGATTGAATCTCATGATGGCAGAAAAAGGCAAAGACAGAAAATCTTAAGAACCCCAGTGACTGTGAATAGTTTACTTTTGAGATGGCATCCTGCTTTGGCTCCATGAGAAAATCATTCAGCTGTAACACATTTTTCTTCAGAAATGGAAAACATGAAAGTTGACATTTATTTACTCAGTATTTGATGTTGCTGCATATGTATATGCAGAAATTCTACCAGGAAAAAATTAAAGGGTCAGAACATGGCTTCACCATTCTGGGAAGCGTCCTCATGATCTTGCTAGAGTCTAGATGGTTTTAGATTTCCTCTCTTCCTCCCTTTCATGATGACTTTAGTTTCCTACCATGAGTCACTTCTACTTTTGATCAATGCTATTCATTCGGTTTGCTTTATTTCAAAGTAAATTCTTAAAATTTAAGATAATTCTCTTATACATTTGATTATGCCTCAATTCTGTCTTAAATATACTTTTATTTCAGATCTTACAATGAATCAAAGATTCCTCTGAAAGAAGTGTTTTGTTTTTGGGCACTGGAGATAAATCAATTCTGCTTTATACTGTGATCCAAGTTTGTAGGCTCCTCCTACAATGCGGTTGAAGTGAAGGTCATTGGAAGTCAAAAGGTTAAGCAATCAAGAGACCAGGGTGTTGATTAAAAAAAAATCATGATGTCATTAAGTGTAATATCAAAGTACGGGGTGGAAACATGGGAGGGAAACAGCAGGGTCTACAATGAAGTTAAATGGACAGTAAGGTAGTAGGGGACAGCAATGGAGGAAGTGGGATCTAGAAAGATACTGAGTCTGACAGGGAAACTTCTTGCCTACTCTGAGATTTGGGACTTATTTTTCCTATATAATGGAAGTTTTGTCACTGTACTTCCCATTACTCCTCTTGTAAGCAGCCAGTCATCTTCCTGAAAGCAACATTTAGGTCTCCAGAATACGTAGATAAAGCCATTCATTCCAGTCTTTAATTAGCAAGAAGATGGAACCACCTTTAGAGAACATTCTGGAGTATGTCCAACCTCACAGCGATACAAAGGGCTCCTACTAATCATTGAATGTGGTGTTTCTTGTGTCATCAGTTAAGGGACCTACGATACAAGCAGAGTAGCATGTAACTACACAGATACACAGGATAACCCACATGTGGGCTGTTTTAAGAAAGATGCCTGTAAAAAAATATTTAAAAGACTAGGCAAAAGAATGAAGAATGAAGCATATTTAGTCAGTCAGTTGAACATTAACAAGAGCCATAATTAAATATTTTGCATGTATTATCCATTTTTCTACCCTAGAGACCAGTGTGAAAACAAATGAAAACATATGAGCCTCTGGTGCTAATTTCCAGAATGACATAATTTATAACTGATAGATCTGGGAATCTAAACCACAGCTCTTCCGATCATGTTACATTACTCGACCACCAAGGTGACCCACAAGTGAATCAGAGGCTCCAAATCCACTTAATTTTCTAATGGAAAAAACCCAGAAGTTGTTTTCTAATTGGTCAAACTCTTCACTCTAAATATGGCTTAAAAAATCTAAGTATTGTTTTATTTTTAAAAGAAGTTAATGCAAATGCACACCTATTATCACTTGCCTGTGTTCATTATCTCTTCTCTATCCAAAAATTTGCAAATACTATTTGGTGCTTAATTTGTAGAAATGTTGTGGAGAAATAAATGGCCATATTTTCCTAAAGAAAAAGCATTTCTTCTTAAAATTTCTTTCAGCAAATAAGCCAATAGCTTACTTAGTTGATCTGCATAAGACAGGTAGATGATAGCAATTTTATATCACTTTCATGTTAAACAGGTTTATTTATAACAGGTAACCCTGGTTAGCATATTAAATAGAAGATGTGGACTAGGCGTTCAACTTGAGAAATATGTGGAAACCTTGTTAAAATGAAAATTTGGGGGCTCACTCTCAGAGTTTCTGCTTCAGTAAGTGTGAGATGAGTCCTGAGAATTTTCCTGACAAGGTTCCTGATAATGTGAATGCTACTACTCTGGGGACTAACTATTCTTTTGGTTTCTATGGAATAGACTTATTCTAATCTTGTTGTAGTTTTATTCTAATCTAAAACAATCTGTATATATTTCTAAACATATCTGTAATTAAAATAAAAATGAGAAAATGTGAATGTGAGCACTCTTGGCCTTAATTGTACCTTTTCAAGAAGAACCTTCACCCATTTGGCCTCAGGATCCAAACAAACTAATTGCCCATCTTTCAGTGTGACTCTGAAAATAAAAAAGTATTTTGGTTAAACAACAACTATACTTAATATAATAATGTGTTAAATATATTGATTATAATTTCTGCAACATGAAATGCATATACTTAAAATGAACATCTAGATTTCTCAAACTGTTAATCATATTATTGGAATATGACTTTTAGCCATATCAACATGCATTAATAATTTTTCAAACAACTAAAGAAATATATATTTTAGAGTTTTTTGTGGTGTCAATCAATCCACAGAAATTTTTTTGGACTTAAAATGTACCAGGTATAGTGCTAGACTCTGAGAAATCTATTTTAATATAATATCTTCTAGGCTGACAGTTGTCAATCAGTTATTATATATTCTTTATTGTTATATCTCTCTGATTTAATCAGGAACCCATTAAACCTTTTTTTTAAAATTGAACCGGGAAAGCATAAATTTCTTATTTAAATTAATTCTTTGGTTTTTAGGTGTACTATAAGAATCACAAAGCTCCACTAGTATCTCCATAAAAATTATTACATAAGGACTATATCATCTCACCACACACTGAGCCAAGGGTGTATATTCCAATGTTTAAGAAAATACCATGACATAATATTCAATTGTGAAATAAAATGATAATAATAAACACTTAGAAAATTACCAATACAAGGAATAACTATCATATGTCATGCAAAATGGTAAAAAATAGAAAGTATTCCTTTAAATGCAGATACAAACCAAAGTTGTCTACTTTTAGCACAACCTTCTGAACAAAGCAAGAAAGATAAATAAATGTCCTATGATTTTCAAAAAAGAAAATTAAACTGCCATTATTCCCAGATGATATATGACCAAGTAAAAGGTTGATGATTACAAAATCAATACAAATGTCTAAACACTAACAGCTGGACTGTGAACATTTATTAATATGCCTGTTATAATACCACCAAACAATGTAAAGTATCTAGAAATAAGATTTTTTAATTAAAAGATATGAAGAGCCTGTATGGGGGAAATTACGAAATCTTGGAAACAGTAAAGAAGTCCTCAATAAATTGGGAACAAGTCCCTTTTCTTGAAATGGAAATTTTAGTACTATAAAGATGTCAATAATTCTGAATCTATGGTTTTGAAGAAATTTCATTCAAATTCTAATTTAACGTAGTGCAATTTTCAAGTTGCTTCTAAAATTTATGTGAAAGAACAGAAGTCCAATAAGAAACAAGCCAGTCTTGGAGGAAAAGATGGATTAATTGTCCATTTTAGATGTCAATTATTATAAAATGTTAATAAGGAAGACTGCATATAGGTAGAGACAATATGATCAGTAATACAGAATAGAGGGGTCAGACCTCTACTTAAAGGGAACTCAATTTATGGCAGAAGTGGCATTGCACATTGCAGATCAGTGGGGAAATGATGGCATTTCAATAAATAGCACTGGGTTAATTTTTTATCCATGTGAAAAAAGTAAAATAAAACTGGATAATTTTCTCACATCATATATGCAAAAATAAATTAAAGGTGGATTCAAGCCTTAAACACAATGGATGATACTAAAGTATTTCAGGTGATAATATAGAAGAATATTTCTGTGAAATCTATGAAATATTTTTTGAAACATGACATTAAAAATGCTAACCAAAAAAGAGTGTATTGCCAAACTCAAGTATAGTAAAAATGCAAAATTGTATTCACTGAAGACACTATAGAAAGAATGAAAATATGAGCAAAAAATTGGAAAATGAAGTGTTATATCCATAAAACTGACATGGATTAGTATGCAGAGTACATAAAGAACCCCTGTGAGTCAAAAAGGAAAAGGTAACATCCAAATTGGAAAAGGAGGAAACAAATAAACCCAAATTTCATAAAAGGTAGAATATAAATGCTGATAAACATGATTAATTATCCACCCCCATTAATAATATAGAAATGTGAGTTAAAAGAACAACATGATACCAATACATTTTCATCAGATTGACAATACCAGTTATTGGCCAGTATGTGCAGCAACAGATGATTTTATTCAGGAAGCAGTGTGAATTGGTATTACTTTGTAATATAGTATGTCATTAACTAGCAAAGTTGAAGATATACAAACTCTAAATAAAATAGGTTATTTCTATTGAATTTCTATGAAAATTTAAGAAACTTTCAAATTCATGAACCAGGAAACATAAAGAATTGTTGTAATAGCAAAAATCTGGAAAGAACCCAAGAGCATATTAGATAAATACATTTTATATTTATATATTTAGTATTGATATAATGGAATACTATCACTTAAATTGAATAAATTACAGATAAGCACATGAAAATGAATGAATTGTAAAATATGAAGTTAAATGATGGAAGCAAGTTACAGAATACATATAGCATAATTTCATTGACCTGAAGTTCAAAAGAGGCAAAATAAATAATGATTGCTGTAGGTTTCATACCTATTTGGTAAAATTATAAATAAAAGCAAGAAGTGACACAATTCAAAATAGTGGTTAATTCTTGGAAGGGGATGGGTATGATTTGGGAAGGATATTGGTTTGTTTTGACTGTCTTGGAATCCCATGGCATGGGTGGCTTAAACAACAGAAATTTATTTAATAAACAAATTTCTGAGTTCTCACAATTCTGAAGACTGGAAGTCCATGATCAAGATGCTGGCAGGTTTGGTTTCTCATGAAGACTCTCTCTGGCTTGCAGATGGTCATGTTCTCACCATGTCTTCACGTGGTTGACCCTTGACCCACATGTTGTTTGTGTCCTGATCTCCTCTTTTCATAAGGACACTAGTCATATTGGGTTAGATCCCACCCTAATGACCTTTCTTTAACATGACTACCTCTGTAAAGAACTTATGTTGACATACACTCACATTCTGAGGTTCTGGGGGTTAGAGCTTCAACTCAGGTATTGGAAAGAGAAGCACCAGTTGGCCTATAATAGGAAGTTTACACATGGAGGCTTCTGACATACTATTATGTTCTAGATTTCAGCCTGAGTAGGTAGCAAATAAGCAGAAGTTTATTTTACAACTGCTCTTCAAATGGTACCCATATATATTCATAGGTTTTAAAAATATTTTTAGGCAGAATCCTAAGAAGCCCCACTAAGCTTCTCATCCATAAGCCCAGGTATGAGAATATGATGAGATACTACACTCATGATTATGTTATAAGGCAAAAGAATTTGCAGATGTAATTATGGTTTCTAATTATATGATTAAATTAATCCAAAGAATTGTTATTCTAGGGACCCTAAAACAATGACATAAGCCCTAAAAGTAGTGAATTTTCTCTGGCTGGTAGCAGAAGAGAAAATTGGAAGAGATACAATATGGGGCACATTTTCATTGCTTATGTGAAGGGAGACACATGGAGAGAACTTAGAGCATTCTGCAGGAGTTGAGAGTGACCCCAGATATATGAACAGCCAACAACAATATATGGACCTCATTTCTACAACGTAAAAAAAAAAAAAGATGAATTCTACCAGCAATTGGAGTTAGAAAAGGATTCTTACCTGGAGCCTCCAGGTGAGACTTTAGTTCAGCTGACACCTTGTTGTTAGCTTTATGAAACTCCAAGCAGAGAACCCAGCCCACATCCTGCAAACTACTGTGAGATGATGTGTCTGTTTCACACAAAATTGGGGCAACTGTTGAGCCAGCAATGAATAATTGAATCAGTATGCAAATATACTTCATAATCTTAAAAAAAAATTTAATGAAAAGCAGATGTATTCCCCAAAGTATCCAAGCTGTGTGTTTGTAGGCTGATGCCCCAGAAAGATGATCACAAAGGCCATTAAGCCATATTGAACTTATTTGTATATCCCAGTGTGTGTAATAGATTTCTTGATGATGAATTAACTTCCCATTTATCTTTACTCATGGCTGAGTATTTTTGCTTATTATACTTGTTCATTGATTTCAAAGCTAAATTCTTCTGAAGAATTCATACTCTGTGTCCCCATTTGAGATTCTTTCTTCATTTGTTTTCTGAAGAGGGTACATGATGTTTTCAGGAATGAGAGCATAAATACTAGACAATTATCTTCCTAGTCTGTGAAGGAATAACAACCCAGGAGCCTGGTTCCCTATACTCCCAATCTAGCACATTTTATAAGGAAATGCCCTCTTTGAAAACACCAATGCTGGAGTTTCCATATTCTCCCACATCATCACTACTTACATGATTTCTTTTCTGCTGCATTGAACACCTTCGGGTATCAACTATAATGTTTCAATGAATTGGGGAGAAATAAATTCAGAATGCATCTGAATACACTGACATCGTAACTCTTGAGCCTTACAGAGATCAGCTGTGTGAGAAAAGTATAGAAAAACCCCAGATTTATTTAATTTTTACTTGAGTAGTATAAATACAGCTGTGACCCTTAATTATTCATTTGAAATTTGAAATCAATGCAGCAGGGTATCAATTCAGTACTGATAAATATTTAGGAAGGCAATCACACAAAGCTAATCATTGGATATTATTATGTTCAGGGATCACTTATTGAGCATCTACTACATTTGAGAAATTGGTAGATACATTAGAGCATTAATTCATTGCTTTAAGTATGGATAGTCAATATGATAACACATTTAATGGTAAAATCACCTAATTCCCTTTTATGAAAAGTTCCAAACATAAAGATTATATGTGAATTTTATCAATTGAAGGTAGCATTTCTATCTGCATACCATTATTATAACAAATACCCTAAACCTATTTGAAGTAATACTTCTGCTATCATATCTATAAAGTAAAAGCATAGACTTACAGCCAGATGTTTCTTTAAGTATTTGTTTTAGTTGTAGGCAGGCCCAATAACCTTTATTTTATTTTTATGTGGTGCTGAGAATCGAACTCAGTGCTTTACGCATGCAAGGCAAGCACTCTGCAGCTGAGCCACAACCCCAGCCCCACAGCCAAATATTTCTAGGGAATTAAACAGGTATCTTTTATTTAACTCAATAAGAAATTTTTGTCACTTTGCAATCTAAATGTATGCCCACTTAAGCTTTACTTTTAGAGTTTCTATGTATTGTTTAATGCCCAATACAAGCTCATTAGAACTGGAATCTCTTCTAAACTTTTTTCAGTAACCAAAAGGAAAAGAAAATCATCATAGTTGGCTTACCAAAGATGCCCATGACAAGGAGCGCCAGCAGGAGTGTTGGTGAGCTCTCAGCAGCCCTGTCTCTCCTTGATCTGAATGCTGTGTGGGTGGTGGAACTGCAGCCCACCTTTATGTGATCACTGACACCCTGAGAATTTTTTGCTTCTCTTCTTCCATTCTCTCTCCCCATTGGAGAATGAAAGGTACAAGGTATAAGTGGCATGCTTGCCATTCACAAGCCAATAAGGAAACTGGGTTTGTTTTTCATGCTTTGTTTAAATTAAAGTCTAGGGACAGGATGGGATGAACTTTCTGAATAGAGAAAGGAATCTATTATTTCCTGAGGTTGAGACTTCATAATGTGAAAAGTTCAATGCCAATTGTGGTTAATGAATAGAGTTATGAGAACATTTATGAATCTTTCCAAATGCCATGTTTGCATAAAGAAGAGACTTAAGATAGTATTTCTCAGCAAATATTTGCTTTTGGCATTTGTAATTATTTGCATAATACCTCTTGAGGTTTTAGTAGAATTTATCAAGCCAAAACAATACCTCAGCACAGATAACCTACAAAGAAAATGGAGTCTGGACTGTAATAACCTTTGCCTTAAAAAATAAAAGAAAACTAGAATTTACTTGGGGTTTGAAAGTAGCAGTTTCCATGGTCTTGAAGCTAAACTAAGTAAGAGTGAGATTTATTTAATTTTTACTTGAGTAGTTTTCAAGTAACCTTAATTATCTCATGTTTACTCTATTTTTTGGCATCAATAAATGGAAGGGCAAATATTCATATTTTCCTAGGCTATCATATGCTACCATAGTTACAGACTGGATGGCTTAAATGACAGAAGTGGTGGTTTTGTTGTTGTTGTTGTTGTTTGTTTTTTACAGTTCTGGGGACTGAAAGTCTAATATCAAAGTTATTTTTTAGGACCAAGAGATAAGGAGTTGTTGTTACAGGCATTGCTCCTTGGTGTGTAGATGGTTGTCTCACGTGTCTGTGGTATTCTCCCTGAATATATATCTATCCCCAAATTCCCCCTTTTATAAGGACATCAGTCTTATTGGATTAGGGCCTATCCCAATGACCTCATTTTAATCTGATTTAAATGTTGAAAGACTCAAAAGAATTTATTTAACCAAAACTTCAAAGATAAGCTTAGGACATAGTGACAGTTTAAAAGTTTGGTTTTTTTTTTTCTATTTTTAAGTGACTTTTTTTTTATTAACTGTGGTTCTTTAATCATAGACCTATTAAAATTTTATGTCATATCTGAAGCACAATTAAAATACAATTAGATCTGGTTTGTTTAAAATGTTGAGATTGTAAATATGTTAGATTTTATGGACAATCTGTTTTATTAGTTGAATTTTCAAACAGTTCCACTTTTAACTGTAATCCTGTGTTTCATTCTTCAAAAGATGTATCTATACTGTGATGCAATGTAATGTAATAATAGCAACACTGTATCTTACTTTGTGCCAATGCTGCTCTATGAATTTTTGTAAGTTGTTTGGAAACTTCCCAGGAAATATTTCTATGTTATAGGCGAGGAAATTGAATATCAGAAAGGTTAAAAATAACCACATATTCCTTTTTTTTTTTAGAGAGAGAGAGTTTTTAATATTTATTTTTTAGTTTTTGGCAGACACAACACCTTTGTTTGTATGCAGTGCTGAGGATGGAACTGGGCTGTACGCATGCCAGGCGAGCGAGCTACCGCTTGAGCCACATCCCCAGCCCCACACATTCTTATTGACTTCTTGATTTAAAAGGGGGAATCTATTTCCCAAACCCCTTGACTGAGCTGACTTTATGACTTGCTTTGGTGACAAGGATGTGGCAAAATTGACAATGTGGATGTTCCAGGTGAAGAAGGGAAGATATCAAGGAGATGGCTCACCTGCCACTCTTGCCCTCTTGGAATGCTAAAGCCGTTTAAGGAGAACAAAGCCCCATTGCTAGAAATAGGAGTCCCAGTTATTGGAGAACACCAAGCACTAGAATGGGAGTGAGACAGTGCCTCAACTCAGCAGGTGACCATAGCCACATGAATGACCCTGGAAGATCTCAATAGAAAAACCATCCAGCTGAGCCCAGTCCAGGTTGTTGCATCATCCAGCTCAAATTGATGATCCTTAGCTAGAAAAAATTGGCAGTCGTTTTTAAGCCACTATGTTTTGAGGAAACAAAGGATAGTTCATAGAGTAATGTAGCAACTAACTTCAGGTGGCTGAACCCATTTCTTATTCTTTGGCAACATTGAGAATCATCTACTTTGGTGAAGATAGTCCTGTACTAAGTAAGCATCATAAAGTTTATTTTTGGCCCATTTCTGTAATAAAATAGTTATCTGACATTTGATAATTCTTTAGTAATCTCTGAGCATCTCCCATGCTAACTATATAATGCACAGAATTGTATTAGTTTTTTTTTCCACAATCTCTCAGATTTTTGAACCAAGCTCCTACTTGACTGCCAAGAGATCATTTTCTGATCTTATTTACTTTTTCCTCTCCAAACTACTTAGTTTCTTTTTCAGAGAAGTTTTGAAAGCAACAAGAACAAAACAAGATTGTTCACTCTCACTGATGTTATTCACCATACTACTAGAAGTTTCAGCCAGAGCAATTAGGCAAGAGAAAGAAAGAAAAGACATATAAATAGGAAGGGAGGAAGCAAAGTATCCCTTTATTTAGATGATAAGATTCTACATGTAGGAAAGACTCCACCAAAAGACTATTAGAACTGATAAATTCAGTAAAGTAGTAACATACAAAATCAACATTGTAAAAACCAGTTGCCTTTCTAATACACCAATAATGAATTTGATGAGAAAGAAATTATAAAAGTAAGCTCATTCACAACAGCAAAAGAAGAAGAGAAAAAACAATCTAGGAAATACCTCTATATTAGAAATTACAAAATAGTGATGGAAAAAATTGGAGAAGACACAAATAATTGGAAAGACTTTTAAGATTCATGGATTGTAAGAATTAATATTGTTAAAATATCTATACAAAGTAATCTACAGATCCAGTCCAATTCCAATGACATTCTTCACAGAACTGGAAAAATGATTCTAAAATTTATATGGAAGCAAAATAACCCTGAAAAGCCAAAGCAATCTTGAGAAAAAATAACAAAGTTGGAGGCAACACAATAGCTGATTTCAAGAAAATACTACAGAGCCATAGTAATCCAAACAGCATGGTGTTGGCTCAAAAACAGATTAACAGACCAATGAAACATAATAGAGGTTCTAGGTAAACCCACATCTACAGCCAACTGATTCTCGACACAGACACAAAAAAACATGGGAAAAGAACCTTTTAAACTGATGGTGCCAGGATAACTAAATATGCACATGCAAATCATTGAAACTTGAGCATTGTCTCTCATCTTGTCCAAAAATCAAGTATATGTGGATCAAAGACATGAAACTTCTAGAAGAAAACAGAGGGGAAACACTGAGACATTAACGTAGCAGTGATTTTCTCAACAGAACCTTAAAAGTACAGAAAACAAACAAACAAACAAAAACATGACGCATTGGATTATATCAAGCTAAAAATCTTTTGCACCACAAAGGAAATAATCAGCAGAGTGAAGAACAACCTATATAATAACAGAAAACTTAAACTTTTCACTTGACAGATGATTAATATCTAGAATATACAAGTAACTCAATGAGCTTAACAAAAATATGTATTCTAATTTAAAAACACACAAGTCATCTGAATGCACACTTCTCAAAAGAAGAAATGCAAATGGATAATCAAGAGATGAAAAAAAAATGTTCAATCTCATTATCCATTGGGGAAATGCAAGTCAAAAACTACAATAAGATGCCATCTTACTCCAGTTAATATGGTGATTATCAAAAAAAATGCATGAAATTAAAATGCTGGTGAGAATGTGGAGATAAAGGAACTTATACACTGTTGTTGAAAATGTAAACTAGCACAACCGCTGTGAAAAACTGTATAGAGTTTCCCCAGAAAACTAAAAATAGAACTGCCATGTGATCCACCTATCCTATACCTAGATATATGTCTTAAGAAAATAAAAAAGAGATACCTGCATTATCATGTTTATTAAAACACTATTCACAATAGCTAAGGTATAGATGAAATTAGCCTAGGTGCCCATCAACAAATGAATGGATAAAAAATAAAGTGTAGTACATACACAAAATGGAGTATTATTTAGACATAAAGAATGAAATCCTATCTTTTGCAAGAAAATTGATGGAAATGGAGGACATTATGTTAAGTGAAATAAGCCAAACCCAGAATGACTAAATATTCTCTCATATGGGAAAACTTAAGAAAAAGAAAGAAGTAAAGAGTTAATTTGAAAATAGAATAGTGATTATTAGGTATTGAGAAGAGTGCTGTGCTGGGGAGAGTGGAAAATGGATAGTTGGATTTGATTAATGTACCTTGCATGCATGTATGGAAATATCCCACTGAACCCCATTAATAGGCACAAGTTAATACATGATAATAAGAAAAATTTCTTGTATCCAGTTAAAAAAAATTATGCACATGCCAAGAGTGCCAAGAGATGGAACAGCCTGAGCCACAGGGGAAGTGGAGGAATTAGTCAATATTAACAGAATCAGAAATGACAGAATGATAAAACTAGTGGCTAAGGATTTAAAAATAGCTATTAAATATGCTCAGGTGTCTAAATGAAAATGTGAACATAATGAAGAGTGAAGAAATTTTACGTATTTTATATATTTATTTTATACTATATCTAGCTTTATTTTAAAATAAATTTCTTAGGATACAATAAAATTTATTTATTTAAAAATATCACATACATACACACATATGTGTGTATATATATTATATATAATATATGATGATATATATTATATATTATTATAACTTTATGCACACACACATATTTATAAAGAGAAAGAGAGAAGAAAAAAATTTCTAGCATTGTCTAAGCAAGGGACTGGGAAAACAGAGTCTTCATCTACTAAGTTCTGTCCTTCTATAAGGATTTCCTCTAAACCATAGGGCATTAAATCACAGGCCTTCTGGAATGGGAATGGTGCCGACTCTCTGCCAAGTCCCCTTTCCCAAACAAAGCACTCAGAAAGAGAAGTTGAAGAACAGAGAGGTCAAGTTGAGAAGCTGTTGCCCACTGCAACTGCTGAACTCATTGGTGAATGGAGGGATGTGAAGTGGGACACTGGTGATGTACATGGGACTAGCCCTTTTCCTTATTAGTTGGATAGGTATCCAGAGAAAGAAACACTATCACGCCTTTTCTGGATGGCCCCCACTGTTCTAATGTGGGTCTTCCACCTCCACCATCCCCCAATGTCTCTTCTGTTATATTTGGGAGTCTTGAGAGGACATCTCAGGAGACCTTACAAAGAAGGACTTGCAATGACAGAATAGCCTCAACCATATTTCCTCCTCTCCACTGTCTCCTTTGGTAGCATTTCTCAGGAAACCTCAGTCCCTCTGGTCATTGCTGTTTCCTGTGGATCGCCTCATGAAGTGAAGATATGATACATACTATTTTTTTTCCTACTTCCTTCACCCTGGACTACCACCTCACACACCCTTATGTCTCACTTCCTGCCATAACACTCCCCCATAGGAAACTGCTGTGCACTTTGAAGGTATAGGGTGATTTGTTATGGAAACTACAATTTACATTTTCTTTTGATCTAAAGACTGAGATGTGTCCATGACATTGTCCTGGGAACCCAGGACAAGAAGCAGTTTTTTGTAGCCATCAATAACATTTAATCATTGAATCACTTCAGAAGGTATATACTCTGTTATTATCTTAATTCTATAGAAGGGGAAATAAAGTCAAGTAAAGTCACAAAACTTGCTCAGGATTACAATGATATAGTTGGAATTTACCCCAAAGTTTATCTGATCCTTTGAAATCTGTCTTCAACCATCATATAAATAAAATCATCTCTTTTGTCCTTCTTGTTTTCTGTGTTCCATATTGACTGGAACACAGCATCCAGAACAGCAAGCTCCAGACAATGTTGAAAATAAAGACTGAACTTAGGTTCAAGTTGTGGCTTTATTGAGCTCTTGGGTCCTATTTGTAACATTTCCCAGTGTCCTCTAACTCAGGGTTAGAGAGTAAATGCTAGTATTTATGGAATTTCTGGAATGGTTTGTATTTATTTATTACTGTGCAGTTTATAAACTTTCTTCCTTTCTTCTTTTATCTCATTCACAATTAATATCTGGGAGTTATGAAGAGATAATTTTTAACTTTTTGGATGTGAGGAAAAAAACTCAGAGAGATTGTTTCCTGCTGCTTAGGGCCTTATTTACCTAGCTACTTGAGCCAAGCCAGAACTTGATCTCAAGCAGAAAGACCAGCTTTCTTGCATCTGCTGGAGGTGTTTACCTAAACTCAGGGGTTCCTGAATCAGTCCTAAATTGGAGATGAGCACACACCTCACACATGTGCAAAAATTTCTTCTTTCCTTTCAGATTTAGAATTTCTTTCTTTTTTATTGATACATTTTCTCTTTAGACATGGCATTTTTGTCTCTCTTGGAAACATAGATTGCTGCTGTCATCCTTGGGCAGCATTGAATACCAAGCTATCCAAAGGCTTTCCCAGGATAAACATTGTATCAAATTCTACATAAACTTCACTAGGAAGGGTGGGAACTGATGTAGTCAAATATTAGAGCCATGTTTCATATAATTAGTATAAAGAATTAGAAAAACATTAAATTTGGTGGTAATTTCTTATGTTTATGAGAGTTAGAAACTTGAACCTGAATTGCAGCTTAGTCTTTTTTTACAGGTACTCAGACATTCACTTTTTCTGCTTCTACTGATGACACATGTAAATAGTTTTGAAGAAAAAAAAATTAACTCTACCACCATTTCACTGTCAACTTCATTAAAGAATATCTGTGTCTACACCCATCTATATCTCTTCCTCCATCCATCCATCCATCATCCAGCTACATTAATAATTCTCACATCAAGAGTAGCCTACAGCTTGGAGAAGCACATTCTTAATTAGTTGTGAGCCAAGAGAAGTGAGATCCATCACCAGATGAAATTAGGCATGACTCACGATTTGTCTACGCAGCAAATTGAATCCCCAGGAAGATAAGGTTGAGAAACACTGATGTAAATCATTAAATTATCTAGTAAAGATATCCCTTTTCCCCTCCAGGAAATAAAATAAACATTCTTTATTTTTAAATACTTTATTTTCACATTCTTTGTAAAAACATTAATATTTAAACCTCTTTGTTTTAAGACATAGTAACATATTACATAACCAGCAATAAAAAAAGGCATTATGCCTTACAAAAGAAAGACATAAAATGTCCAAGGGATATTTAGAACACTGTAGTTCATAAAGCTTCACCATGAGAAATGTTGACTATGCACTGGAAAGCCATTTCAATAAATAGCAACTGACATTTTTTTAAAGAGTTACAAAAATAGATGTGTATGCACATTCTCCTTCCCTGACAATGATCTCCCTTTCTGTTTGCTTGGATCCCTCAGATGACAAATAAGAATCAGAATTGAACTAATTTGGATTTGATATAAAATGAACAATAAATATAATGATACCATGTGCAAGTAGATTTAATCATACCCTTAATTATTTTATAAATAAAATATTAAAATAGAATCTTTGAAAACAAATAAATAAATAGAAGAGCTCTCAGAAGACATGTTCAAGCATACTAAGGCCACTCCAGGCGGCCTCGGGAGCTATCTTTTCATCTCTTTTTCATATGAAGTCAGGTCCTGTGTCAGGAACAGTCACCAAGGAACTTCCTCCTTCCCCTGGTCAGCTGGAATTGCCACTGAAATGAAAAAACTGCTGTCTTTAAATAGCTGCTCGCTCAGGAAAGGTGACTGTGCAGCATTCTGTCCCCTCAGCTCCAGAGTTTTTGAATCCAGTTTTCCCAGCCTGGCTCCAAGAGGACTTTGATGCCTGTGATGGCCGAGCTAGTAGCAGAGACCTCTAGGATGGTGGACGTTCTCATTTAGGAATGGGGGGTGGGGAGGAGGTCCGTATTCTCTATTCTATTACAGATATGTTCTACTAACAACCGGAACCTATTGCTGTCTGTCACACTGGGCCTCGTTTAGCTCATGAAATACTTACTATTATTTCCCTTATTTTACTAAGTTTCAGATAAAATGAAATAATTATCCTGAGCCAAAAGTGAATAGATATTGGGGGAATCAGACTTCTACTCTGCAACATTGCTGCAAAATCTTTTCACCACTAAACTTCAGGGCCTCATGCTACAAAATACCAGATTTGAACCCCAGAAGGGACTGTGGCAGGGGGGATGTATTTTTTAACAAGTGGAAAGCTCTTTAGCATACCTAACTAACATTTATCAGTTTTAAAGAAGGCAGTTGTTACCTACACTCACTGGAATAGAGACAGGGTTCTGGTGGGGATGCAAAACCTAGGAAATAAATTTCGCCCCTCTTCCCTAGCACATTAATTATTTTATGGCTAAGTTGTTGAAATAGCAGTCACAATTTCTAGTCGGTCAGCCACCCATGGGTTTTCCTAATATAATGACTTCATTTACACGTGTAAATAGAAACCATAACTCACGTGTTCAGCATCTTATGGATGATTTTCTTGACCAAGGGGGCCTCAGGGTTGAGACAAGCTTCCTGTCCATTCTTGAGAGTGGCTCTGCAGAGAGAAGGGAGGATCCCAGTGAGGCAAGGGGCGGGGGGAGGGGAGCCAGGTGGAGGGCAGCAGCCTCTGACCGCAAGGAACTTACATGACTTCTGTTTGGGCACAGTGGGGTCCTGGGGACGTCACCTTCACACTTTGGATGTTCTTGAGGTGAATTCCTTGCACAGTCTGCAAGCACTGGCAGCGCAGTTCAGAGACCACTGGCGCCCCTGAGGAGAAGAGACCGGATTAGCGGGGCTGTCCCCATCCTAGGCCTCCTCACACCGTACCCTCAATCCCAGTCCCATCCTGGGGACCCCAGGACGCGGGTCTCACCTGCTGCGCGCCGGCAGGCGGCTACCAGAAGCAGCAGGAGCAGAGCCACCCGGAGGAGCCAAGAAGCGCGGGGGACGGCGGAGGCGGTGCGGGCCATGGGACTCAGCGGGAGGATCGCGGCGGAGCCTGGAGTGCAAGAGCTTGTGGCGAGGGGCTGCTGTCCTGGCTCTGTGGCTCTCGGGGATCCGCGAGCCCCTTTTATGCATGGTTGGCGGGAAAGGCCAGAGCCCCTGGCCAGGGAAATTCCCGGAGCTCCTGGTGCTTCCCCGAGGGCGGAAAGAAGACGCCGCCCTGCCCCTGGCTGGAGCAGGGGGGACACACCGGTGCCGCCCTCCTGGCCCTCCTGCCTAACTCCCAGGGTCTCTGGGCTGTTCGCTTTGTATCCCAAACCACCTGCGAGGGGGACTGTGGGCATCCAGTGACCTTAGTGCATAGGGCAAAGAGGGAGGCAAGAGCTGGGAGATCCTGAGAGCCTGAGAGATCCACTGCAGGAGGGTGCCAAGTTTTTAGAGGAAGCGGATGATACTAGTTATCAGACGTGGGGGTTTAAGGAAGAGCGTGAAGGGGGTCTTAGGTTTTGCTTAGTTCACTATATACCTTTCCTCTGTATGTCCCTAATTTTTGATTTTGCTTATTGTATATACACCTGAAATTCATTCTCTTGTTCAAAACTTGAGCCAATATCGCAGATTGAAGAGAATATTCGACTTGCTTCTCATGTTGTATATCCTCAATCCCCAATTATCTTGTTTGCGTTTTCCATTTGGTGGGAATGGGGATCAACGTCAACAGTTGAATGTAACACGACCTCTTCTTTGGATCCTGACTAACTTCCTTCTTCCCTCTGAAATGTTGGCGACCTCTGAAATTCCCCTGAGATCTAATATCCCACGTATAAGGGGTTAAACTTTGATCTTTGCAATACCGGACTGTTGGCCACTCTTAAGCCGCAGAGTAGAGGGATGGGTGGAGCAGGCTCAAGGAGTTAGCTTTTCTGATAACACTGAGTAGCAGGCTCTTGGACTCTAGGGAGTGGGTACCCGCTGCGCAGCACTTGTGCCCTAGAGCAGCAAATAGAATCATGCAAATGAGATAGGAAACACTAATCTCTCTCTCTCTCTCTCTCTCTCTCTCTCTCTCTCTCTCACACACACACACACACACACACACACACACACACACACACACACAAATCCCATTTCATTTAATACGGGGCTGTCTTGTATTCCACGTTGGTCCTCTTTCTCTAGAAACACGTCTCTGTTTTCTGATGAGCGATTTCAAATTCTTTGTTTTCTTTATGTAATTTTTTAATTTAAATATGACAGCAGAATGCATTACAATTCTTATTACATGTATAGAGCACAATTTTTCTTATCTCTGGTTGTACACATAGTATATTCACACCAATTGGTGTCTTTGGATAGTAATGATCATCACATTGCACCATCATTCCAGGTTAAAATTCTTTCAACCTGACTCTCTCTGATTGCTTTTTCTCCAGGAGTTTTAGAGAACTTTTTCATCACTGGGTTTTAGAGGGCAGGGCAGGGCAGGGCGTGAGTTTGTTTCTCCAAGTTGTATTCAGATCTTTATCACAGAAACCTGAAATACAATACAATGGGAGCAGGGAGAGGAGAAACTTAATGGCCTCTGCCCTACAGGCACAGGTCTGCAGGACAGGGTTTCCAACTGCCCAGCTCAACAGATACTAGCAGGTGCCCCCTGTCAACCACCGGGCAAGTAGCTCTAGCTGCACATAATTCCCATATCACCTGCAATTTGTTAAACCTCTTTGTTTCTCCCTCAAGGTGGTTATGAAAAATGAGTCAACATTCGTAAAGCACCGGCATGGATTAAGTGCCTTATAAATGTTTGTTAAATAAAGTGGGAACAGTTTTTTCCAATATTGCCCAAACAGAAACTCAACCTGTTGTGAATCCTTCTTTGAAGACATTTTAAAAAATAAGTTCATTCCCCAATTTTCCTTTTCACATTCAAAATTTTCTATATCAGTTGCTGACCCCAACTGTGTCTAACTGCATACAACACCATATGGAGTAGCAATGTGTCTGTTAGACATCAAGGCATATCCTAGAATAAAGTTCATAAAACCACCATCATCTGGGTGTCCAGAATGCCCTTGGTACTGGTGCTAATTGGAGACAGTGCTATCACAATAATTTTGGTGTACAGTGGAATACATGTGCTGACATGTTGTGCTTAAACACTATAGATAGTATTTGTGGTTGAGTCCTTGTCAGTAAATTTCCCCATGTCCCTGATTAATTTCTTGACAGAAAGGATACCCAGAATGCACTGACTCAACGAAAGTAGAAAGGCAAAGTAACCTCTTCAGCAGTTTCCTGCTGTAGTCAGCGCTACACACTTAAAAACTTTTAAAAATCAATTGAGAGTTACAAAAAAATATATTTCAGACTTTCATCAAGGAAGGCATATGTGTGCTCTATTATGAGATGCACATAGATGGGATTTTATTTTTTATTGCTAAGATGAATCACTGATTTTGTGATTCCACTTTCAATCATTTCATCTACTAAAAAAGAGTTTGAATAAAAGACTCATTTATTGAAAAAGATGTACAAAATGAATGACTATTTAAAAAATCACTCTAGTATTTATCACTGTGATCCTGGGGGAAAAAAACCCAGAAAAGTAAAAAGAGATTAAAGTTTGTTTCAGGGAGAAGGAAATGAGAAGTAATCTAAAGGTCATAATTTTGTGACTAGTTCATGAGTAGTTGAGAATTTGTGTGGTTACTATTTTACTGGGATTTAATGGGAAACTGTCTACAAATGTGAAAGTAATTATTGAAAACTTGAAATTTTTTTTTTGTTTTCTAATTGTACTTGCAATATGTGCTGGTTTTATTAAGTTGTGAAGTCAGAAAGGCATGCAGAGGTATTTTTTTTTCCTCTTATATCTCCTCTGTCTAGGGAGAAAACTTAACATCTGTTTTTTCCTCAACAAACATAGTAGTTAAATTATAAGGGCTTACAGGATTCTGGGTAAATATGAAACAAGCTGCTTCCTATATTTAGTTGCCACAAACCCTGAGCGATTTACTAACCCTCTGCACCTACCCAAGGTACAAAGCTTTTATTTTATGCTCCTCTAAGTGCTTTACAAATATTGACTCATTCAGTCTTCAAACAACCCTGTGAAGTAGACATTACTATTATCTTTATGGAAGGTAAAGTTTACAAATAAAGAAACTGAGGTACAACAGCATAACTCTCTTCTGTGGCATTGGTTAGTTTGTTACGTTGTCTTGATGTGCCAAATTCTGAAAAAATAGTAACTTCCCCAGGGAGAGAAACAGGAAAAACTACCGCTTTAGCAAGAAATGATGGTTAACACCTTCAGTATGGTGTCATGAGGATGTCACATACCCACTGGCATGATGTCATAAGAAAGGCACTCTTTGATATTCTTTCCAAAAATTCATAACTGATGTATAATCATGAAAAAAAATATTCAAGTCCAAATTGAAGAATTTGAAGTAGCTGAGCAGCATTCTACAAAACTGTGAAGATTATGAAAAATAGGAAAGGACTGAGAAACTATTACGAACTAGACAAAAATATGGAGAACACGGCAACTAACTTAGATTGCATCCTGAGACAGAAAAGGGACTTAATGGAAAACCTAGTGAAGCCTGAATCAAGTCTGGAGTTTAGTTCAAAGAGTAATGTGCATGACCAACATTGATTTGTTTCTTAGATTTGACAAATGCACCAGGTAATGAAAAATGTTTGGAACTGAGTAAAGGATTCACAGACACTGTATTATTTTTACAATTTTTATATATTTGAAATGATTTCAAAAACACAATGTTCACGTTTTAAAGGTTTCTCTTTCTAAATTAATTTAGAATATTACCAAAATGAAATTAGTGGACATGCATGCACCTGCTAGCTTTCAAGAAATGAAATTCAATTTTGGTTGAATGCCTACTTACTCAAATCTGAAAACCCAGAATATCTGTGGCTACAGTTTGGACACTTCATCATGTTTCATGGGATGAAATAATTTGACTTCATCATTAATCATGCTGTCCAAATATCTTGTCTATTCCTTGGAACGGAAGAAAAACAGAAAGTGTTTGCTGCAATTGGTCTTCACACACAACTCATAACTGACGTAAATGAGAGGACTCAGAGAGAGTCAGATATAGTTTACCCAGAGGAGCTGCCAAAAGAATGAAGCATGTCAAGAAGCAGCCAACATTTGGAGATTATAGAGCCTGACTCTTGGAAATCACTTCATCAAAATCACTTGTTTTGTCATGAAAGAAAAAGCAAAGAGTTATGTGGTTTTTATTTTATATGCTACCTTAACATGCCACTTAACTCAATGAAATCTTCATAAATCAAAATTTAAAAATTTCAAAGCACAGGAATACTATAACTTAGAACAAGAAACAAATTAATTGTCTCATTTGAACAAGTGATTTTCAAAGAGAAGTCCGTTTTAAGAGGTGAATGTTAGATTTCTATGCAGTCTTTAAACTCATGAAAGCAAAAATTCTTTCTATAAATTTATGGGATTTTTTTTTTTTTTTTGGTAGTGCTGGGGATTGAACCTAAGGACTTGTGCATGCTAGGCAAGCACTCTAACAACTGAGCCATATCCCCAGCCCTAAATTTATGTTTTTATTAATGCATTTGGTTTATATAATTATGGGGCTCATTTTGACATATTCATAAATCCCCATAACATAGTTTGCTCCATTTCAATCTCTAATACTACCATCTTCCCTCTATTCCTCCCTCCTCCTGATCTCTTTCCACTACTCTATTGGTCTTCCTTTGGTTAATTTTTGTTTGTAATTGGTGCTTATGTGTAAAGGTAGAATTCATTGTGATATATACATTCATGCACATAGTATAATTTGTCAATGTCAGTATGCATTTCCTTCCCTTTCCCCTCCCCACTCCCTCCTCCTCTATCTCCCTCCTCTACCACACTGTTTTCCCCCTTCTGTTTTCATGAGATCACCTTTAACAAATACCTTACTTCTCTCTAGCTTCCACATATGAGAGAACAATTTGGTCCTTGACTTTCTGAGTCTGTCTTATTTCCCTTGGGAGATATTCTGTAATTCCATTCATCCACTGGAAAATGACATAATTTCATTCTTCTTTGTATCCATTGTGTATATATGCCACCTTTTCTTTATCCATTCATCTATTGGGGGACACCTAGGCTGGTCCCATAACTTGACTATTGTGCACTGCTCAGCTATAAAGATTGGTATGCATGTTCTTTGGAGTCAACACCAAGGAGTGGGATAGCTGGGTCATGTGGTGGGTTTATTTCTAGTCTTTGAGAAATTTTCATGTTGCTTTCCAAAGTAGTTGTATTAACTTTCAGTTCCACTAACAATGTAGGAGTGTACCTTCCCGCCCCCCCCCCCACATCCTCATCCGAATTTATTATTACCTGTATTCTTGAAATTTGCCATTTTAACTGGAGTGAGATAAAATCTCAGTGTCATTACAGTCTGCATCCCCTTGTTTGTTAATGAAGTTGAACATATTTTGCCAGGCTGCAATCCTTAAAGAAATCGGAGAATCCTTAAAAATTGAATTTTTGGTGGTAAAATTCCATTTGCCCTATAATCATCATGGAACCATTCATTCAGAATTGACAAACAGTAAATTCCAGGTGTTCACATCTTCTACTCCCCTCCCCAGGCATTGCTGTGGCAACAGCCACTTGCAGGAGTAACCTGACAGCTCCTCGCCTCAGCTGTATCAGTGTCTTTCCCTTCCTGGGCCAATTTTTCTCAGTGGCTGCCATGAAACATTCCTTGCCATAAAATAGGAGCCAATGGATAAACATTTTCCCATTTTTTTTTCTGCTTTAAACAGATATTTTTTCAATATTTCTTAGAGGGTTTCCAGTAGGATGGAATCCCAGTTGCCCACCCTATTTTCCTATTTCACTCTTCCCCGTTCTTCAGTCCTATATATTGGGGACACATTCTCAAATAAATGACCTGCATGGCTGACCCATGATTAGGCTCCAGTTTTCAAAGGGAACCCTAGGCTGACCCACTGCTCCATTCTGGGAAGTAACCCTGATGATTGGCAGGCAGGTGTGGGCAGTGTAGCTCCACTGTTCTCCTCCAGCTTGCCTCAGGGACTCATTGCCTCACAACTGCCAACCCTATTTCCCTAAAATGATGCGATGACTTTGTTTTTAAGGGGGAAGAATGAAGATATCAAAGCGTGCCATCAAATTCTAGGCTTTATCTCCCCCCACAATTCAAGGGCATTAGTGTCAGGTTCAGGGCAGCTTCACCATTCAGTATCCGGACACTGCTTGTCTGGCTACCTTCTTTCTTTCAGCTAGTCATACCTGCTCTCAGTCCAAGGGTTCAAACAGGATAAGCCATTTCTCAGTTGCTTTTGTCCAAACCCTGCTGATGGATTCAGAAATGAGAAAATGATCTAAGCCTGGTTAAGTCAGAAACAGTGTCTAGAGTTTTTGCTGGAACAAGTGAAAATGCCATGGGTTTGCTAAACTGATAAAAATTAATGCTGTATTTTTTGTTTTTTCATTATTATCATGAAATAACTGAGGCTGTGTAGCTTATAAAGAAGAGAGGTAGTCTGGGATTGTGGCAAAGTGGTAGAGCATTTGTCTAGCATGCGTGAGGTACTGGGTTCAAACCATGGCACCACATAAAAATAAAAAACAAATAAAGAAAAGAGATATTTTTAGCTCATGTTTTAGAAGACAAAAGCCCAAATAGCATTGTACTGGCTCTTAAGAGGCTCCTCCTGGCTGCATCACCTCCTGGCTGATGGCAGCACAATGGTGGGAGCAAAGTCAACAGAGGGTTGGGGGACAGGGAGAGAGGGAGAGGGAGAGGGAAACAGGGAGAGAGCAGGTGGGCTCCCAGAGTCAGAAGCTCCAAGAGTCAAGAAAATGATCCAGGAACTGTTGGAAAGTGATGAATCATCTGCTTAATCTGTTTATTTTCTACCAACCCCTTTTTAATCTCCCAGGAAGGGTAGGATTTTGAAGCCTTGACTTTCTAGAGTTATTAGTTATTCATATATTCATTTATACTATACAAAAATTCAGGTACATTTTCCATTCTGTCTCCCAAATCCTACTTGACTCTGAGAACTCTGCTTAAAAGATGACAGAAAGAAAATGAAAATGAGCAAGACTAACATATAACTTAAGGTTTACTCCCCAGTTTTTGGCTAAACACTGTACTTGCTTTGCATTTCTTTAGTTGAAAATTTCTTTCCAAATACATTTGTGTAATTTTCTTTCTCTATTGTTATGTTCAACATTCCTCCTTCCTTTGCTCCCCACCAGCAATACAGCCCATCTCACCCTTCACTGGGACTGGGACACATGGCCCACCAAACTCTCCTGTTCTCTCTTCTGGAATATTATCTGGGATGAAGACAAATGGAGAATCATTCAAGCTCCAATATTTTTTAAAAAATCAAATACAACTTTTGTAATATATCTAAGGTTATGAGTAATGAGGATAATTGACCTTGCTTCTTACAGTGTACGGGAAGATGGTTAGTGAAGCTGGTAAATCTCATCCAAGAGACTGGAGAAGGCTTCCACATTCAGGTGAAATTCTGAAGACAGTCATTGCCTAGAGAATGAATTGCACTTTTCAATAGCAGAAAACAATTACACACAACACAGCTTTAACTACACAGTAGTAGCCAAACTCAACAGAAGTCAACCAGAAAGGCAGGGTCTAAGGGCAGTTTTTGGTAATGCAGGAGCTAGTTAAGAAGGAAACAGAAATTGTCTGGGTCTCAAAGGTATACACTGTGTAAACTGCATGGTGACCACAGAGCGCTCTGTGATTCCACATAAAGAAAACATAGACCTTATAAGATTGACCACTAGTGTTTTAAACTACATAAATGTGTGCATATTTCAGTTAGGGTTGGAGATGTGACTCCTGCTGCCAACTTAAGGCCAAGGCAGCTGACTCTAGCCCTTTTTTGGGTTGTTTTATTTAATCTTGCCTGGCTAGAGCCCAACTCTTCTCTGAAATGACTTAGCTTCCGCACCCCAGTTCCTCATTCCCCATCCCAGGTTTCCGGACTGGACCAGCAGGAGGGATAAAAGAGGCGGGGACATCGCTGGAGCCGCGGGCCTGGGAACCCTAGCCCCCACTTGCCCTGAGCACTCGGATCCTGCTGGAAACTCCAGGACATGGGCCTCATATTGCGCTCCTGCAGCCTCTGCAGCCAGCTCAAACCCGGGCTGCTGCTCCTGGGGCTATTGCTCCTATCAGCTGTGATCACAGTCGCCAGGAGCGGTGAGAGCAGAAGTAAAGCGGGGAGGGACCGACCAACCAGAACAGTGGGAATTGATTCCTGGAACCCCTGGGGGGCTGAGGCAGTGTCCTTAACTTTAATGGTTCCAGCTCTATTGTCCTGGGCTTCGGAAGTGTGAGGGCGCTGTGTCAAGCTCTACACAAGCGTGCTGCCACTGAGTCAATATACCTTCCCTCTGGAAATGCAATTCGGGGCTAAGGAAATGAAGACCAAGGGCAGGGGTGGGGGAGGGGCTGGGAGATTCTCTAGGTGCCTCTGGCCACTCCTGAAATCCTCCTCCCTCCCCTACTCCTGGCTACTCACCCTTTCTGCCACCCTCAGAGGATCCTTCAGAGGATGGGGACCTTCAGTGCCTGTGTTTAAAGACCATGTCCAAAGTCAGTGCCAAGCACATCACCAACCTGGAGGTGATCAAGGCTGGACCCCACTGTGCCAACACCCAGATAATGTGAGTCCTGACCTTGAGCAGTTGGTGCTGCCTTTTGCCCAGCTGTCCCTCTGTCCCTCTATCAGATCTTGTTTTGGAATCCAGGCACCAAAAGGTGCATCTCTTCTCTTTTTCCTGCAGAGCTACACTGAAGAATGGGAGTAAAATTTGCCTTGAAGGGGAGGTCTCCTTCTTTAAGGGATTAGTCCGGAAACTCATGGCAAAGTAGTTTCTACCTGGCTAAATGTGTATTTTGCTATAAAACATGTTTGGGTGGACCCCCCCACACACACCCCCACACACATTCGCTCTAACTAAAAAAAAAAAACTTCTAATGATTATATTAACCTTCAAATCTTAAATAAATAAATCATATGAATCAAGTTGTGATTTTCTCAAATATTGCTTCATAATAGAGCAGAAAATAGTGATGTCATATCATATTTTCTTACAAGAAAATACCTCCAGAATTTTAAGAAAAAAATGTTTTGAAGGAGGGTTTGTTTTATAAGGACTGAATTTGCTTGGTGCTACATGTTTGGCTGATAGATATTTGCATGTTTATGTGACAGCATTACTTCATAGATGCATATTTACTTTATGTGTTAGCTTTGTTAATAATAGCATTTAATATGTCAAGATCATTGTATTGTCTTGAGCAACTAATAAAAAAATAGAATTTAATCATTACTAGTTTCCAAGGCTCTTTTTTTTAATTAAGTAAATAAATCAAACTCTGATTTTATCCCTTTAAGACTTAGACTCTAGGGCTGGGGATGTGGCTCAAGCGGTAGGACGCTCGCCTGGCATGCCAGCAGAGCTGGGTTCGATCCTCAGTACCACATACAAATAAAGATGTGGTGTCCACCGAAAAAATAAAAAAAATAAATATTAAAAAATTCTTTCTCTATATCTCTCTATAAAAAAATCTTATAAAAAAGACTTAGACTCTACTACATTATTATTAGAAAATTAATAAAAATAGAATTTGAAAACATTAGTTAATATTACTCTATTGATACTTTGGGAAACTGCATTAAAATAGCTTAATCTTTATAAGGTTTTTTGAAAATGTTGATATTCCACAAAAATGAAGATCAAAAACAGTTTTTGTATTCATATTGCTGCCTACAATGGATCCCTGTTTTGCAAACCTACCAGTTTTGTTCTTATTATATTTACATGTTAGTATTCCTCTAAGCATGCAGATGTCTTGAATAGAATTTTTTTTCCCTGGGCATTTTCAGGTTGAGGAGTTGCCTTATTTGCAGTTCAGTATTCTCCCTTGCATTCCTTAACATTAGAGGTGTTAATATTACATGTTCAACAGCCATGGAACCAGGAGCAGTGCAAGCTGATGTTTTCATTCACACTTTGGGAAAATGTTACTATACTTTGGGGAGAAAAGAAGATGTTGCAACATGGGTATATTAGTTACCTATTGCTTGTGTAACAAATTCCCACAAACTCAGTGACTTAACAACACAACTCTATTATCTCACAGTCCTGAAGGTCACAAATTCAAAATAAGTCTTAATGGGCTAAACTCAGCATGTCCTCAGGGCTGTGTTCCTTCTGGCTTTAGAGGGCATTCTTTCTCCTTACCTTTCTCAGCAACTAGAAGCCACCTCCATTCCTTGGCTTGGGGCCCTTTCTTCCAAGTTTGAAGTGTATCATTCCAGCCTCAGCTTTTGTTGTCACATCTGCCCTCTCCTCTGACATTCTCTAATAAGGAGCTGTGTGTACACATTGGGCCCAATTGGATCAACCAGAATAACCTTACTATCTTAACATCCTAACACATGTGTGAATTTTTTTTTCTGCCATATGAGGTAACCTAGTCATAGGTTTCAGGCATCGAGCCATGGGAATCTTGGGGGGGTATGGGACATTATTCAGCCTACCTCAATGGGCAAGAAGGCAAAATCTAGTTGAGGCAGAAGGAAGCCACAGATGCTTGCTTAGGAACTAAGGCAATTTCGACCTAAGATGACAATGTTTGTATAATGGTATGTTTAAACTCCTAAGGGAAATGAGACTATGATGCCATTCAGTCTCTTGGGAAAAAGGGACACCTTAGGATGACAAATTAATTAAAACAGACACAATTTCTAAAGGCTTATGAAGTGCCACAACATCATACAAAATTTCTACACCCACACTGCAAGTTAGGCAATATTATCCCCATCACAGAGTTGAGGTAACTGTCTAGGAAAGGCCACAGCTTGTTAGAAGCTGTATAAATCAGTCTGGTTCCTATCTCCCTGCTCTGGGTTTCACATTGTGCTTTCACACAAGCAAGTAGCATGGTAGCCCATGCTTCAGAAAGGAATGACCCCATAAACTGGCTCTTGTAGATGGATTAGGGTTTGCTAGTGGGTCAAAGGGAAGAGTGGTACTACCACAACATGAAAAACTAGACAGAAAGATGCATGATCGTTAAGTCCTCGGCATATTTGGACAGAAGCTCATAGTTCTGCAGGGCTGCAGTCTATGGGGAAAGAGAGTGAACAATGGTCTTCTGTTTAGTTTTCATCAACTTGGTGCTTATCACTTCCTGTATAGCTTTTATGCATTCTTACCTAAATTATCTCTCAAAACACAGATATAATTATGGCACTTCCCTTCATAAAACAAAACTCAAAGTCCTTAGCATGGCTCTCAAGGCTGTGCTACATTCACTTTCCCTCTGTGCCTTGTTTCCTCATCCATGAAGTGGGAACAATCTGAGTATAGGCTTCATGGGTTATTGTGAGGACTAAAGAAGTGGCATCTGTAAAACATTTGGTGTAGTTCTTCATGCTTAAGAACAGCAAATATTAATTCTTGCTATCAATAATGCTTCCAAAATACCATCTCAGTCAGTTTGGAGTTTTAAGTGTTTAGCAAAGCAATTTTTTGTGACAGATAGCAATACAGGGTCGCAATAGCACCAGTGTTCTTCAGATCAAATGAATTTTGTGGGAGAAAACGTTGGAAAGGAGATGAGAGTGGTTTATTTTGCTCATTCCTCTTCTGCTGTGTGTCTCAAATAACACACTCAGTTGTATCCCACAAGAGAGGTGAGTTAAAGGGACAAAGGCCAAAACAAATTTTTCCAAGTGAACCAGTGCTAGAATCTCGGGGCCTCATATGCCTTTACTTCGGAATTACTGTGGTCTAACTATTCTGAGAACACTTTCCAGTTGCTGTCTTTATCAGCAAGGGCATTGGGAGAGGTCTTCCTTACAAGGAAAAGCTCAACACACACACAATTCCCTGTTGTTCAGGCATTTATGGAGTAATAAGCTTGAGTGTACTTGAGCTGTCCATCCACCCCTTCCCTCCCAAGCCTGGTGTTGGTTGGAAGCAGGCAGTGGGAAAAAAGGCAGGAACTAGGCACTTACCTCCTGTCATGGTCCCTATCAACAAAACAAAACCACAAAAAGATATTTTGCCCCCAGAAGTTGTTCTGCCATTTTTTAATCTTTGCTCTCTTTTTTCTTCTAAGGCCTTTGTGGTAACAGTTTCCTTTGTAATATGAAGTACATTGAAGGCTTACTTGAATTTAAAGATATATCCACAGTTTTCTCATTATAAAGGATGTGTTATTACAGATAACAGCATATAAAGAGAAAATAAATATTTTTTAAAAACTATAATTTCACCACTCAGAAATATCCTTTTCTTTTTCAAAGTACTGGTCATATGATATGGTTATAAGCTGAACAGTTAAATTTTAATAAAGTGACATTTGTTTTCACAGACGCATAAAAGAAACAGTAATTACTTGATTATATTTCAAGGAGTTAGGGAGCATTCTTGTCCCAATTTTATAGATAGAAAACCAAGTTCCAGTATAATAGAACAAGTTTTCTTTGGCCAGGGAATGAATGGCAAATCCATGTGACAGTAATCTAGTATTCATTTTTATCCATTCCTTTATATCATTTATATATATATATATGTATATATACATATATATATATATATATACACATATATATATATGTATATATATATACACACACACATATATATACATATATATATGTATATATATATACATATATATATGTATACATATATATATATATACACACATATATATATAGTGTATGCATATATTCATTGTGTATTTATGTATTTATGTTTGTATATAGTTCCACATGTATACATCTATATACAGATATGCCCACACATGCTCACACACAATTAACAAATTCAAAATACAATACTTACACTTGCTTTATACTGTGAATTCTGGTATTCATTTTCTGCATTATGCTATCCAACTTTTAAAAAATGTTGACCACAACTCTATAATTTCATCACTCACTGCTGGACATGGATGTTAGTATAAAAGCACTTTAATTAGATTCAAGTTCTTATGTTTCCTATTGAGTCCACAATCTAGAGAAGGCACCTGGAGAGGCAGCAGGCATGAAATGAGCAGGGCCAGCTGCGTAGTTCAATCTGCTTGGCCAGGTATCCTCTTCCTTCATTCTCACCCCCGACCTGGGTTGGAATTCCCATGACAAGCAATTTTTGACATACAGATATTACAACAAATAGGTGTCTATATGAGGTGCTACCTCCTTGTCCTGTTATATTCACTGCCTGTTCTGCTTCAGCCATTAGATTTGTTTCTAATGGGAACTTAACCAAGGGCAGAAAATACATTGCTTTCCAGGGGGCTTTGGAAAAAAACAAACATATTAATTTAGTGAGTTTAGCAGTTTTATACTGATTTTTCCCCATATTTCTCTTTTTGTTATATTCTCTCATAAATGGTAACAGCCCAATGGGTTAATAATTTGAGTCTCCCTTTCTGTTATGGTTTGGATGTGAGGTGTCCCCTAAAAGCTCATGCATGGGACAATTCTCTTGCATTTCTCAGAGGAGAAATGATTGGGGTATAAGAGACTTAACCCAATCAGTTAATTAATCCCCTGGTAGGGATAAACTGAGTAGTAATTGAAGTAGTAGGGTGTGACTGGAGTAGGTGGGAATTGGGGCATGGTTTTGTGAGTGGAGTCTCTCTCTGCTTCCTTATCATCATGTGAGCTGCTTCTCTCTGCCACACTCTTCCCCCATGATGTCCAGTCTCACCTCCAGCCCTGAGGAATGAAGCCTGCTGTCTGTGCATTGAGATCTCTGAAACTGTGGATCCTCAAATAAACTTTTCCTCCTTTAAAGTTATTCTGGTTGGATCTTTCAGTCACAGCAATGAAAAAGCTGACTAAAATGCCTTCAAAGCACATGTTGAAATGTAAGTGCCACTGTGATGGTAATTGGGACATGGCTAATAAGGGCTCCACTGTTTTGAATGGATCAATGGTATTGTGGCAGGAGTGGCTTAGTAATGGGGAGAGTGGGTTGTTGTAAAAATATACTCAACTTTCTTGGCTTTCTCTTGCTCTTGCCCTGGCCCTCTCTCATGGGCTTTCTCATCATGAAAATCCCAGTGTCATGTTATGAAATAGCAATAAGCTTCTCATCATATGTGGCCCCTTGTCCTTGGACTTTTCAGCCTCCAATATTCTAAGAAATAGATTTCTTCTATTTATAAGTTACTTACTTTGTGCTATTCAATTTCAGCAATACAAAATAGGATAAGACAACTCCTTTGGATTAAATCTTAATTTTGATTCTGTGTGACCCTTAGTCTACTCAGTTTCCTCATTTCCAAAACAAGGACTAAGGTGGCCACCATGCACGGTAACTAAAGGAGTAAATCACACTAATAGTAGGATCCAGCATAGGGTCTGATTCAGAATTGAAATCTTACTAGTGAATACTACTTTTCTTCCCTTTCCTTAGAGATTTGCACAAGAGCACATGCCATTCCAAACATTGGTGGCCACAATCCTTGACCCAATACGTAACCTATTAAGAACAAGGCCAACAGGCCAGAATTTTCCCACACAGAATCACAATCCAAAGCTTGCATACAGACAGCTAGTTAGAAGAAGCTGAATATGACAGACACAGGTGGTACTTTCCACTGTTGGTAGCAACTAAAAGAATCAAATAACAAAACCACAATGTTTGTCAACTAACATATCTAGAGATTATAAAATATACAAGACATCTGATGATTGGGAGCCTGGCTTAACTGTCTTCCTAGTAAACAACAACAACAACAACAACAAAGAAATAAGATTTTGATGAAACAATTTCAGTCCTTTTTATGCTGTTGTAACAGGATACTACAGACTGAATGAACTTACAATAGATGGAAATTTATTTGGCTCCTAGTTCTTGAGGCTTGCAAATCCAAGATTGAAGAGCTAAACCTGCGGAGGGCTTACACAAGGTAATCCATCACAAGGTGAAAGAGAGAGGGGTGCAGGAGAGGGAGAGAAAGGGCTGAACTCAAGAATTCATCCCTTAAAAGGAACCCACCCCCATGCTGCTGTGATAATGGTACTAATTCACACAGGAAACAGAATCCTCATGACCACCTGTTAAAAGTTCCCCCTTTAACCCTGTTCCATTAAGGATTAACTTCCCATTATGTAAAACCTGGGAGATATGTTCAAGCCATGCCAAATATTTATTTCTTCTCTGTAGCAGATACAACATGGGATTACACATTTATCTGGCATTTTGTGATGATAGGCTATAAAACTTGCAGGCAGAGTAGTCATCAAGCAAAGTTGGAACAATTAGCTTTCACTTACCATCTGTGTTGCAGAATCAGTCTTCTTCTGCCAGCATGTTAGAGAAAACTATAGGAACTATTATCAAAGAAGGAATAAGGCAATGTACGCATACCTCCATCACCAGAATGACTATTAAGCTAGACTGTGAATATGCACTTATCTGTTTTTCCTACTTTACATCAGGGAATAATGGTCAAACCTCTTCCCTCTCTTCACTTTCAATTCCAGATAAATACCTGAAATACCAGGGCTAAATAAATATTTGTCAAATATTAACTACATGAAGAGGAACAATAATGCTGATGCAATGGTGTATTTGAAGGCTGAGCAAAAGGCATCTAGCCAGCAGATAGTTAATTGAACATAAAAGACATTCTTCCCAACTGCTAACCTTGTTAGGCTCAGAGATCTCACCACGTTATTCATAGACACTCATGCTCATGCTCTTTGTACCATCAGTGACTTGTTTGATTTTTCAGTTACAGTCACTTCTGTAATATTATGGAATCTATTGAGTTCCCTTCATCTGTCTATCCACATCCTCCAATCACATTCTGAAGTTTTAATACAAGCTCATTCAATTTTATTTAATTGTAGACATTTATATTCAATGTATAATACATACAAATGGAAAATATATGCCATCAAGGCATTTCTTCACTATTACCATAACTTCCACTATACATAATTGGATCTCACATTTCTTTGGTGTCTTTAACTGCTTAGACATGTCAGCCATTGAATCAGCTCAGTCACACTTCAGCAGTGCCACATCATTGTAATCAGTACCATTCAGAATTCTGTCCCTGAAAAGTTTCCTGAATATATGAACAGAGCCTAGAAGAAAACAATAAAAACAAAGATATTTCCAACCAAAACATTGGAGGAACATTGAAACATTGAATGAACATTGAATAATATTTAATATCAAATTTTAATAGTTATTCATAATTTTCCTTATAGAAAGCTGTATCTTCATGTCATGTATTTTCATTTGTGGTTTATATCTTCATCTTGCAATTTCCTAAATTTTATCTCCACAGTATCAAAATCATAATGATGGTTTCATCTTCAAAATAAATTTATTATATTTTTAAAGGGAAAATTTCCCATTTTCTTTTCTTTTGTTATTCTGACAATCCTATATTCTTTTTGAACTATGTGGTCATTGTTGGGTGCAGAACAGGCTGAACTATGTTATCTGCAGGGCAGGCTGAACAAATGTTAGCTGCAGGATATCCCAGGTACTCAAACCCCCCTCTCTCTTGTCCTTTATCACCTGTTTGCATCAAAGCTGAACATTCAACCCCCACTCAAGGCTGAACACTCAACCCCTCCTTGTGCCAACAAGGCAGCTTGCAGACCCAGAGTCCTCATTAGATTTGGGCTATAAAAACTCCCTTTTGCTGGGCCCCTCTCTCTCTCTTGCTCTCTTGTTCTGTCTCTCTCTCTTGATCTCTCTGTCTCCCTTGCGCGCATGCTCTCCTCTCTCTCTCTCTTTCTCTCTTCTCCCCTGTTGCACTGCTGCAAAAAGGTCTCTTGGTCACTCTCCTTTCAGTCATGACATCATTTATTTACTAAGTACCACTTCCAGAGAGTTCAGAAAACAATCTTAAGAAAATGGGGATGCAAAACAATCTATAAAAACATTTTTTAAAAATCAATAACCTACTCCCAAGACATCTGTGAAAAGCTAATATATGACACATTTATCGGTGTTAACAATTTCAAGTATTGAAATCTGATCTTATTATTATATTATCATGCCAGAGGAGAAAAATAGCTGATTTTTTTTGTAGAAGAATGATTATAGAAGAAAGTAGACAGATTAAATGTCTAATTTTACATTAGAAGTTAGACTTAATCCAATTTTACCTGTTCTATAAAACCCATTGCTGTGCTTTATACACATACATGAATTAAAATGTATATAATGAATAGTTATTATTCACTCCTTCTGTCTAGACCACACAACCTCTAATTAACTAGATCTTTCCTTTGGCCATGAGGCAGATGGTCCATAAAGGTCAAATATCTCAGGTCCTCTTGCTTTGAATGCACTTTCAGATCTCATCTACATTCTGGGGTCCTGTTGGCAGAGCTAGGCCTTAGAACTTTCTAATGACTTCTGTTCAGGTTCATTTCTCTATCTAAGGCAGGGTACTCTTCTCCAGCACATCCTCTAGAATTCAAACTCTGGCTGTGGATGAAATATCTTTTTGTTCACTTGTATTCAACTGAGATTTTATTCAAGTAGTGAGTGGCCAAAACAAGCAAAAGAAAGTAAGGTCAATAAGGAAATCTAGGATGCTAAAATCCTTCAAGGGCAGTTTTCTCATGTCCTTCCTCAGGACACTTTGTTTAGGAAGCAATGGCCTGAAACCATTTATTCATGCATTATTTCCACAAGCACTCTCACTGGAGACCTGTGAATGCAAACAGAAATGAGATATAATTGCTTTCCTGGCAGAGCATATAACTCTCATGAGGGTATGTAACTAGTGTGCTCCACATCCCATGATGTGCTCAGAACCCAGGGGCTGGGTTAACCCCTTGGGAGGAATTATAAACTTATGATGGGGGAGGGGATGTTAGAAATACCCCCTCAATTACAAGTAGGAGCCCCCTACAACTGAGTTATACCCATCCTCCTCTTGATCTCTCAGCACTCCCTGCCTCATGTTAAACTCTGTTAAAAAAATAAACTGCTTATTTTTTATTTGTTATTTTTAGTTATACATGATAGTATAATGTATTTTGACTTATTATACATACATGGATTATGACTTCCCATTCTTGTGGTTCTACCTGATGTGAAGTTACATTGGTCATTTATTAATATATGAACATGACAAAGTTATGTCTGATTCATTCTACTATAATAAACGGCTTATTTTTCCTCTCAGGTCATACTACATTGTTCCCAGTTTTCGTGCCTTCTTTTATTCCATTCTCCTTTTCTGAATCAGTCCACCGTATCCACTCACCTTAGGTCGGTTCCTCCTCCAGAAACTTTTATCTGGCAGCTCCCATCCTTCCATAAAAGGGAATCAGGTGTTCCCTCCTCTGACAGCCTATAGAGCTCTGTCCATTGCTAAGAGAGTTGGGTCCCTGGATAACTCCATGTCTTTCTGTCCTACTCCATAGACTGTGAGTTCAGTAGTGATGCGGTCTATCATTTTCCTCTTGGTTACCTAGTTCAGAACTTAATTCAATTCACAGCTTCTAAACAGTACATAAATATTTAATTAATGAATGCGTAGATTCATTAACAATAAACAGCAACTTGTGTTGAAAAGTAGTAGAAGCATGGGAAGTGGGTGATTTTAGGAAAACCATTTCACTGGGAAGAGACAAACATCTCATTTAACTTTTATGAAACAATAAATTAAAAAAAAATATGTTGACCTACATAACAGAAAAGTCCATGAAAAATCAGATCCAGCTGAAGGATAGCCAAAGAATTTTCTCCAAAGTAGAAATATATCCCACTTCATTTTCTCTGTGCCAACTTCATTGTGCCAATTTCTCACCAAGAATTGGCAAAACTCTAGGCCTCTTTTTGGTTTACCCCTCAAGGGTTCTTGTGCTGGAGGTTTGGTCCCCAATGTGAAATGTTAAGAGGTGGCTGGACTTTTAAGAGGTGGGTCAGAGAGGGAGGCCCTTAGGTCACTGGGATCCAAATATCTTGTCTATTTCTTGGAACGGAAGAAAAACAGAAAGTGTTTGCTGCAATTGGTCTTCACACACAACTCATAACTGACATAAATGAGAGGACTCAGATAGTCAGACATAGTTTACCCAGAGGAGCTGCCAAAAGAATGAAGCATGTCAAGAAGCAGCCAACATTTGGAGATTATAGAGTTTAACTCTTGGAAATAACTTAATCAAAATCACATGTTTTTGTCATGAAATAAAAAGCAAAGAGTTATGTGGTTTTTATTTTATATGCTACCTTAACATGCCACTTAACTCAATGAAATCTTCATAAATCAAAATTTAAAAATTTCAAAGCACAGGAATACTATAACTTAGAACAAGAAACAAATTAATTCTCTCATTTGAACAAGTGATTTTCTAAGTCAAGTCCATTTTAAGAGGGGAATGTTAGATTTCTATGCAGTCTTTAAACTCATGAAAGCAAAAATTTTTTCTATAAATTTATGGGATTTTTTTTTTTGGTGGTGCTGGGGATTGAACCTAAGGACTTGTGCATGCTAGGTAAGCACTCTAACAACTGAGCCATATCCCCAGCCCTAAATTTATGTTTTTATTAATGCATTTTGGTTTATATAATTATGGGACTCCTTTTGACATATTCATAAATCCCCATAACATAGTTTGCTCCATTTCAATCTCTAATACTACCATCTTCCCTCTATTCCTCCCTCCTCCTGATCTCTTTCCACTACTCTATTGGTCTTCCTTTGGTTAATTTTTGTTTGTAATTGGTGCTTATGTGTAAAGGTAGAATTCATTGTGATATATACATTCATGCACATAGTATAATTTGTCAATGTCAGTATGCATTTCCTTCCCTTTCCCCTCCCCACTCCCTCCTCCTCTATCTCCCTCCTCTACCACACTGTTTCCCCCCTTCTGTTTTCATGAGATCACTTTTAAAAAAAATACCTTACTTCTCTCTAGCTTCCACATATGAGAGAACAATTTGATCATTGACTTTCTGAGTCTGTCTTATTTCCCTTGGGAGATATTCTGTAATTCCATTCATCCACTGGAAAATGACATAATTTCATTCTTCTTTATATCCATTGTGTATATATTCCACCTTTTCTTTATCCATTCATCTATTGGGGGACACCTAGGCTGGTCCCATAACTTGACTATTGTGCACTGCTCAGCTATAAAGATTGGTATGCATGTTCTTTGGAGTCAACACCAAGGAGTGGGATAGCTGGGTCATGTGGTGGGTTTATTTCTAGTCTTTGAGAAATTTTCACATTGCTTTCCAAAGTAGTTGTATTAACTTTCAGTTCCACTAACAATGTAGGAGTGTACCTCCCCCCCCCCCATCCTCATCCGCATTTATTGTTACTGGTATTCTTGAAATTTGCCATTTTAACTGGAGTGAGATAAAATCTCAGTGTCATTACAGTCTGCATTCCCTTGTTTGTTAATGAAGTTGAACATATTTTGCAAGGCTGCAATTCTTAAAGAAATCGGAGAATCCTTAAAAATTGAATTTTTGGTGGTAAAATTCCATTTGCCCTATAATCATCATGGAACCATTCATTCAGAATTGACAAACAGTAAATTCCAGGTGTTCACATCTTCTACTCCCCTCCCCAGGCATTGCTGTGGCAACAGCCACTTGCAGGAGTAACCTGACAGCTCCTCGCCTCAGCTGTATCAGTGTCTTTCCCTTCCTGGGCCAATTTTTCTCAGTGGCTGCCATGAAACATTCCTTGCCATAAAATAGGAGCCAATGGATAAACATTTTCCCTTTTTTTTTCTGCTTTAAACAGATATTTTTTCAATATTTCTTAGAGGGTTTCCAGTAGGATGGAATCCCAGTTGCCCACCCTCTTTTCCTATTTCACTCTTCCCAGTTCTTCAGTCCTATACACTGGAGACACATTCTCAAATTAATGACCTGCATGGCTGACCCATGATTAGGCTCCAGTTTTCAAAGGGAACCCTAGGCTGACCCACTGCTCCATTCTTGGAAGTAACCCTGATGATTGGCAGGCAGGTGTGGGCAGTGTAGCTCCACTGTTCTACTCCATCTTGCCTCAGGGACTCATTGCCTCACAACTGCCAACCCTACTTCCCTAAAATGATGCGATGACTTTGTTTTTAAGGGGGAAGAATGAAGATATCAAAGCGTGCCATCAAATTCTAGGCTTTATCTCCCCCCACAATTCAAGGGCATTAGTGTCAGGTTCAGGGCAACTTCACCATTCAGTATCCCGACACTGCTTGTCTGGCTACCCTCTTTCTTTCATCTAGTCATACCTGCTCTCAGTCCAAGGGTTCAAACAGGATAAGCCATTTCTCAGTTGCTTCTGTCCAAACCTTTCCCCACCCTGCTGATGGATTCAGAAATGAGAAAATGATCTAAGCCTGGTTAAGTCAGAAACAGTGTCTAGAGTTTTTGCTGGAACAAGTGAAAATGCCATGGGTTTGCTAAACTGATAAAATGAATGTTGTATTGGTTTGTTTTTCATTATTATCATGAAATATCTGAGGCTGTGTAGCTTATAAAGAAAAGAGGTGGCTCAGTGGTAGAGCATTTGTCTAGCATGCATGAGGTACTGGGTTCAAACCATGGCACCACATAAAAATAAAAAATAAATAAAGAAAAGAGATTTTTTTAGCTCACAGTTTTAGAAGCTCAAAGCCCAAATAGCATTGTACTGGCTCTTATGAGGCTCCTTCTGGCTGCATCACCTCCTGGCTGATGGCAGCACAATGGTGGGAGCAAAGTCAACAGAGGGTTGGGGGACAGGGAGAGAGGGAGAGGGAGAGGGAAATAGGGAGAGAGCAGGTGGGCTCCCAGAGTCAGAAGCTCCAAGAGTCAAGAAAATGATCCAGGAACTGTTGGAAAGTGATGAATCATCTGCTTAATCTGTTTATTTTCTACCAACCCCTTTTTAATCTCCCAGGAAGGGTAGGATTTTGAAGCCTTGACTTTCTAGAGTTATTAGTTATTCATATACTCATTTATACTATACAAAAATTCAGGTACATTTTCCATTCTGTCTCCCAAATCCTACTTGACTCTGAGAACTCTGTTTAAAAGATGACAAAAAGAAGATTAAAATAAGCAAGACTAACATATATCTTAAGGTTTACTCCCCAGTTTTAGGCTAAACACTGTACTTGATTTGCATTTCTTTAGTTGAAAATTTCTTTCCAAATACATTGGTGTAATTTTTCTTTCTCTATTGTTAGGTTCAACATTGCTATGATGATTAACAGATTTTACAATAATCAATGACACTAGTGATCATGCAGAGCCAAGCATGGAATATTTGCTCAATAAATGCATTTTAAGTGTATTTAGGCACTAGAGATTTTCAATGTTTTTGTTCTAGATGGCTTGTTTGAAAGTATCCTTTGGAAATTTTTCTAATGTTTATTTTGCCTTCAAACCCTAAAAATAATAAAGTTGTAGAATGTAAGTCTTGTAAGCAATGGTTATTTACTTTAAAGGGTATACATTTAACATTAGTAGAACAAGAAAATATATGGTGAAGAAAGGCTTGACATTCTTTATAAAAAACACTCCTGCATTTCTTGAAACAGAAAAGAGAAAGTGATAGATTTTATTTTATATTAAATGTTTTACTCTAGCGTCTTGTATACATTTGCCTTTACTTAATGTGTACATATTTACAATTTCAGTATTAGAACGTGACTTACAAATAAGTACAATAGAGAATTTATACTTTACTAGACTATTAATTGTTCTTTTTAAAATCAATATTCTTCATCAATTTCTAAATCCATAAAATTTACACCCTTGCTATTTTTACAGAAATATGAACATAAACCTAAATGTTATTTATTTATTTATCATATATTATCAATTTACTGACTTGGATAAAGAGTTTTAATTCTCTCTCTCTCTCTTTTTGTTTTACACTTTGGTATTTTACAATATTGCCAACAAAATTCACAAAGTTGATAATCTCTGTGATTTTTACATGATATATTAATCAGAAAATACTAATCACTATTAAAAGGCCAGGCATAGTGTTTTACATACATTGATTACATAGTTCTGACAAGATGGCAATGATCTGGTTAAGAGTCTTTTCTCTAGAGCTAGAATACTTAGGTAACCTGGCTCACCCACTTGTTGGCTGTTTGACTTTGACTGGACTGCTTCATCTCTCAGATGGTGATCATGTAATTGTCTATCTCAGAGAGCTGATGTGAGGAGTAAGAGGTGTTAAATTCAAAGTGCTTAAAACAATGAATGTCATACAAATAAATATTAGTAATTGTTTACTATTGTTACTAGTAGAACTGCAAAGAAATCTGAAGATGGTCCTGAAGAAATTCACACTGGGCTGGGGATGGAGTTTAGTGATAGAGTACTTGCCCACCATGTATGAGGCTTGGGGTTTTAATCCCTAACAATGAAACAACAAAAGAAAGATAGGGTGAAATCAAGAAAAGAAACTCACCCCAACATTAGATACTAAGTGAGCAGAGTGATCATAGTGAGGATTTGAAATCGTATTCTAACCCAGTATACCATACCACTTTCCTGGATTCTTCTTTCTCTAACGAAATTATATTATTTTTCACATAGTGTTGTAGACACAGAAAATAGTATTTAATACACAAATACCATACTGTGTGTACAGTATTGATCATAGGAATATAAGTAAGTTCACCAATTCTGACCTATAAAGGGACTTTAGGAAACATTTACCTACTAAGAATGTAGTTCATTTCAACTTTGCTTTATTAAGGGCTCCTTATATTATCTCCTCACTGTCATAACTTCAGTGCCTTAAAATGTTTTGCCTATAAAATAAATACACTTATTATGTAATAGGTAACAAAAATATGCACAAGCATGTCGCAAAACTGTAATTAGAGATTGAAGCCATTTTCATTAGTTTATATCCAAAAATTAAAAGAAGCTTGGGTATCTCAGTCAATAGTGGTTTCCTACAAAAAGTTGGCAGGGCCATCTCATGAGATATGACACAGTGTTTGCACTATGCTTACATCTCCAAGATACACAGGCCATGTATTATTGTTGTATGGACACATTGAATTATTTTGTGTAAATGCATAGAAAGGATGACTTTATTGCCCCTCACTATTGCCTGGATTCCTTTACTTTGAAATTATTAAAATCTGGGGATATGGTTATACAAATTCAATGTTTTGCTTTACCATGTTCAAAACAATTCCTCCTCTCCATTCGCTCTGCTGCTAACCCAAAAGGAGACTCAAGTTTCAGTTCCATAAACCATGATGTACACCATGTCCTATAACAACCATTATTATATTAGATGTTGAATTTTCTAAATATATGCCATGGAGAATTGCCCTTGAAGATCTCACTCACTGTTCAGCTAAGAGAGGCAGACATGTGGACAGAAGAGTAAACTATATGTGGCACATGTCAGTATGGAGAGATCTGCAGCAATTGTACAAGGGAACACATGAATGAGTCAGAGCTTCATAACCATTTTCAACATGTGTTGATCATTCTCAGTGTAGCGATATGTATTAGGCCCCTACCAGTGTACTAAATTAGTGATAACCATGACCTCTAACCTCCTAGAGCTTTCCATTGAGGCAAAAAGAAAAAAACATTTTAAACACTGTTAAACACACTCCAACACATGCGTCTGAGCATACCATGTATATGTGTATTATGGTGTGAAACAGGAAAGGCTGGGGTGCTGCAAGAGAGAACAACAAAGGAGCATAATAGAGTGTCACTTCAGGCTCCTCTGAGGAAGTTGTTATCTAAACCAATACCAAAAACATGAACAGAACTTAGCCAACTAAAAAGACAGGTGGTGTGAGAATAGGAGAAAGAACATTCCAGCCCCAGGGATTCAGTTTGCACTATGCACATTTCTGCAGATGTTCCATGCTGCAGTCTCCTAATGTCCTTCACCACTACTAATTTGCGTGACAGAGAGAATCCAGCATATACCAGAATTAGAGTGTGCATATCCCTAGTCCTGATAACAGCCAAGCCACTCCTTTTCAAGAAAAGGAAGACAGTTCATGTTGATCTCTTCACCTTTCCTGTGTGGGATTCTGTGACATACCTTCCACCCTTACCTCCACATCATTTACACACTCAACTCCCAGACTCTGTATCCTCCTTCAGAGAACATTGTTGTTCCCCACCAGCAATACAGCCCATCTCACCCTTCACTGGGACTGGGACACATGGCCCACCAAACTCTCCTGTTCTCTCTTCTGGAATATTATCTGGGATGAAGACAAATGGAGAATAATTCAAGCTCCAATATTTTTTTAAAAAATCAAATACAACTTTTGTAATATATGTAAAATTATGAGTAATGAGGATAATTGACCTCGTTTCTTACAGTATATGGGAAGATGGTTAGTGATGCTGGTAAATCTCATCCAAGAGACTGGAGAAGGCTTCCACATTCAGGTGAAATTCTGAAGACAGTCATTGCCTAGAGAATGAATTGCACTTTTCAATAGCAGAAAACAATTACAAACAACACAGCTTTAACTACACAGTAGTAGCCAAACTCAACAGAAGTCAACCAGAAAGGCAGGGTCTAAGGGCAGTTTTTGGTAATGCAGGAGCTAGTTAAGAAGGAAACAGAAATTGTCTGGGTCTCAAAGGTATACACTGTGTAAACTGCATGGTGACCACAGAGCGCTCTGTGATTCCACATAAAGAAAACATAGACCTTATAAGATTGAGTACTAGTATTTTAAACTACATAAATGTGTGCATATTTCAGTTAGGGTTGGAGATGTGACTCCTGCTGCCAACTTAAGGCCAAGGCAGCTGACTCTAGCCCTTTTTTGGGTTGTTTTATTTAATCTTGCCTGGCTAGAGCCCAACTCTTCTCTGAAATGACTTAGCTTCCGCACCACAGTTCCTCATTCCCCATCCCAGGTTTCCGGACTGGACCAGCAGGAGGGATAAAAGAGGCGGGGACATCGCTGGAGCCGCGGGCCTGGGAACCCTAGCCCCCACTTGCCCTGAGCACTCGGATCCTGCTGGAAACTCCAGGACATGGGCCTCACATTGTGCTCCTGCAGCCTCTGCAGCCAGCTCAAACCCGGGCTGCTGCTCCTGGGACTATTGGTCCTATCAGCTGTGGTCACAGTCGCCAGTGGTGGTGAGAGCAGAAGTAAAGTGGGGAGGGGACCGACTCATGGGAGCAGTGGGAATTGATTCCGGGAACCCCCGGGGTGCTGAGGCAGTGTCCTTAAAGTTAATGGTTCCAGCTCTATTGTCCTGGGCTGCACAAGCTTGCTGCCATGGAGTCAATATACCTTCCCTCTGGAAATGCAATTGGTGGCTAAGGAAATGAAGACCAAGGGCAGGGGTGGGGGAGGGGCTGGGAGATTCTCTAGGTGCCTCTGGCCACTCTAGAAATCCTCATCCCTCCCCTATTCCTGGCTCCTCACCCTTTCTGCCACCCTGCAGAAGATGGGGACTTTCACTGTGTGTGTGTAAAAACCATGTCCAAAGTCAATGCTGAATACATCTTCAAACTGGAGGTGATCAAGGCAGGACCCCACTGTGCCACCGCCCAGATGATGTGAGTTCTGGCCCTGGGCAGGTGGTGCTGCCTTTTCCCTCTCTGTCCCTCTGTTTGATCTTGTTTTGGAATCAGGGCACCAAAGGTGCATCTCTTTGCTTTTTCCTGCAGAGCTACACTGAAGAGTGGAAGGAAAATTTGCCTTGAGCGGCAGGTCTCCCTATTTAAGAGATTAATGAAGAAACTCCTGGACAGTTAGTTTATACCTGGCTAAATGTGTATTTTGCTATAAAACATGTTTGGGTGCTTCCCCCCACCCCACCCCACCCCACCCCCACACACATTCGCTCTAACTAAAAAAGAATCTTCTATTGCTTATATTATCCTTCAAATCTTAAATAAATAAATAATATGAATCAAGTTGTGATTTTGTCAAAATATTGCTTCATAATAGAGGAGAAAATAGTGATGCCATAACATATTTTCTTACAAGAAAACACCTCAAGAATTTTAAGCAAAAAAAAAAATGTTTTGAAGGAGGGTTTTTTATAAGGAATAAATTTGCTTGGTGCTACATGTTGGCTGATAGATATTTGAATGTTTAGGTGACTGTATTACTTAATATATGCATATTTACTGTATGTGTTACATTTGTTAATAATAGCATTTAATCATTACTAGTCTCCTAGGCTCATTTTTTTTAAATTAAGTAAATAAATGAGACCCTGATTTTATCCCTTTAAGACTTAGACTCTACTACATTATTATTAGAAAATTAATAAAAATTGAATTTGAAAAGAGTAGTTAATGTTACTCTATTAATACTTTGGGAAACTGCATTAAAATAGCTTAATCTTTATAAGGTTTTTGAAAATGTTGATATTCTACAAAAATGAAAATTAAAAACAGTTTTTGTATTCATATTGTTGCCTGCAAAGAATCCCTATTTTGCAAACCTACCAGTTTTGTTCTTAATATATTTACATGTTAGTATTCCTCTAAGCATGCAGATGTCTTGAATAGAATTTTTTTCCCCTGGGCATTTTCAGGTTGAGGAGTTGCCTTATTTGCAGTTCACTATTCTCCCTTGCATTCCCTAACATTAAAGGTGTTAAGATTACATGTTAAACAGCCATGGAACCAGGAGCAGTGCAAGCTGATGTTTTCATTCACACTTTGGGAAGATGTTACTACACCTTGGGGAGAAGAGAAGATGTTGCAACATGGGTATATTAGTTAACTATTGCTTGTGTAACAAATTCTCACAAACTCAGTGGCTTAACAACACAAATCTATTATCTCACAGTCCTGAAGGTCACAAATTCAAAATAAGTCTTAATGGGCTGAACTCAACATGTCTTCAGGGCTGTGTTCCTTCTGGCTTTAGAGGGCATTCTTTCTCCTTACCTTTCTCAGCCTCTAGAAGCCACCTCCATTCCTTGGCTTAGGGCCCTTTCTTCCAAGTTTGAAGCTTATCATTCCAGCCTCAGCTTTTGTTGTCACATCTGCCCTCTCCTCTGACATTCTCTAATAAGGAGCTGTGTGTATACATTGGGCCCAATTGGATAAACTAGAATAATCTTACTATCTTAACATCCTAACACATGTGTCAAAATTTTTTTCTGGCCATATGAAGTAACCTAGTCATAGGTTTCAGGCATCAAGCCATGGGAATCTTAGTGGTAGGGGACATTATTCAGCCTACCACAATAGGCAAGAAGGCAAAATCTAGTTGAGGCAGAAGGAAGCCACAGATGCTGGCTTAGGAACTAAGGCAATTTCGACCTAAGATGAAAGTGTTTGGATAATGGTATGTTTAAACTCCTAAGGGAAATGAGACTATGATACCATTCAGTCTCTTGGGAAAAACGGACACCTTAGGATGGCAAATTAATTAAAATAGACACAATTTCTAGAGGCTTATGAAGTGCCAAAACATCATCTAAAATTTTTTACCCACACTGCAAGTTAGGTAATATTATTCCCATCTCAGAGTTGAGGTAACTGTCTAGGAAAGGCCACAGCTTGTTAGAAGCTGTATAAATCAGTCTGGTTCCTATCTCCCTGCTCTGGGTTTCACATTGTGCTTTCACACAAGCAAGTAGCATGGTAGCCCATGCTTCAGAAAGGAATGACCCCATAAACTGGCTCTTGTAGATGGATTAGGGTTTGCTAGTGGGTCAAAGGGAAGAGTGGTACTACCACAACATGAAAAACTAGACAGAAAGATGCATGATCGTTAAGTCCTCGGCATATTTGGACAGAAGCTCATAGTTCTGCAGGGCTGCAGTCTATGGGGAAAGAGAGTGAACAATGGTCTTCTGTTTAGTTTTCATCAACTTGGTGCTTATCACTTCCTGTATAGCTTTTATGCATTCTTACCTAAATTATCTCTCAAAACACAGATATAATTATGGCACTTCCCTTCATAAAACAAAACTCAAAGTCCTTAGCATGGCTCTCAAGGCTGTGCTACATTCACTTTCCCTCTGTGCCTTGTTTCCTCATCCATGAAGTGGGAACAATCTGAGTATAGGCTTCATGGGTTATTGTGAGGACTAAAGAAGTGGCATCTGTAAAACATTTGGTGTAGTTCTTCATGCTTAAGAACAGCAAATATTAATTCTTGCTATCAATAATGCTTCCAAAAATACCATCTCAGTCAGTTTCGAGTGTTGTGTTTAGCAAAGCAATTTTTTGTGATAGATAGAAATACAGGATCGAAATAGCACCAGTGTTCTTCAGATCAAATGAACTTTTTGGGAGAAAACATTGGAAAGGAGATGAGAGTGGTGTGATTTATTTTGCTCATTCCTCTTCTGCTGTGTGTCTCAAATAACACACTCAGTTGTATCCCATAAGAGAGGTGAGTTAAAGGGACAAAGGTCACAACAAATTTTTCCAAGTGAACCAGTGCTGGAATCTTGGGGCCTCATATGTCTTTACTTCAGAATTACTGTTGTCTAACTGTTCTGAGAACACTTTCAAGTTGCTGTCTTTATCAGCAAGGGCATTGAGAGAGGTCTTCCTTACCAGGAAAAGCCCAACACACACAATTCCTTGTTGTTCAGGCATTTATGGAGTAATAAGCTTGAGTGTACTTCAATTGTCCATCCACCCCTTCCCTCTCAAGCCTGGTGTTGATTGGAGGCAGGCAGTGGGAAATGTCCACAAACTAGGCACTTACCTCCTGTCATGGTCCCTATCAACAAAACAAAACCACCAAAAGATTTTTTGCCCCCAGAAGTTGTTCTGCCATTTTTTAATCTTTGCTCTCTTTTTTCTTCTAAGGCCTTTGTGATAAGTTTCCTCTGTAATATGAAGAACATTGAAAGCTTACTTGAATTTAAAGATATATCCATAGTTTTCTCATTATAAAGGATGTGATACTACAGATAATAGTACATAAAGAGAAAACAAATATTTTTCAAAAACTATAATTTCACCACTCGAAAGTATCCTTTTCCTTTTTCAAAGTACTGGTCATATGATATGGTTATAAGATGAACAGTTAATTTTCAATAAAATGTCATTTGTTCTCACAGATTCATAAAAGAAACAGTAATTACTTGATTATATTTCAAGGAGTTAGGGAGCATTCCTGTCCCAATTTTACAGATAGAAAACCAAGTTCCAGTATAATAGAATAAGTTTTCTTTGGCCAGGGAATGAATGGCAAATCCATGTGATCCAGTAATCTAGCATTCATTTATATTATATATATATGTATATATATATATATATATATATATATATATATATATATACTGTGTATGCATATATTCATTGTGTATTTATGTATGTATGTATATAGTTTCACATGTATACATCTATATACAAGTATGCCCACCCATGCTCACACACACATAAAAATTTCAAAATACAATACTTACACTTTCTTTATACTGTGGAATCCTGGTACTTCATTTTCAGCACTATGCTATCCTACTTTTAAAAAATGTTGACCACAACTCTATAATTTCATGACTCACTGCTGGACATGGATGATAGTATAAAAGCACTTTAATTAGAGTCAAGTTCTTATGTTTCCTATTGAGTCCCCACTCTAGAGAAGGCACCTGGAGAGGCAGCAGGCATGAAATGAGCAGGACCAGCTACGTAGTTCAATCTTCATTGCCAGGTATCCTCTTCCTTCATTCTCACCCCCGACCTGGGTTGGAATTCCCATGACAAGCAGAATTTGACTGTAACTGAAATATCAAACAATCACTGATGGTACAAAGAGCATGAGCGTACTCTAGTGTCTATGAATAACATGGTGAGAACTCCGAGCCTAACAAGGTTAGCAGTTGGGAAGAATGTCTTTTATGTTCAATTAACTATCTGCTGGCTAGATGCCTTTTGCTCAGCCTTCAACTACACCATTGCATCAGCAGGACTAAGTGCATTATTGTTCTTCTTCATGTAGTTAATATTTGACAAATATTTATTTAGTCCTGGTCTTTCAGGTATTTATCTGGAATTGGAAGTAAAGAGAGGGAATAGGTTTGACCATTATTCCCTGATGTAAAGTAGGAAAAACAGATAAGTGCATATTCACAGTCTAGCTTAACAGTCATTCTGGTGATGGAGGTATGCATACATTGCCTTATTCCTTCTTTGATAATAGTTCCTATAGTTTTCTCTAACATACTGGCAGAAGAAGACTGATTCTGCAACACAGATGGTAAGTGAAAGCTAATTGTTCCAACTTTGCTTGATGACTACTCTGCCTGCAGGTTTTATAGCCTATCATCACAAAATGCCAGATAAATGTGTAATCCCATGTTATATCTGCTACAGAGAAGAAATAAATATTTGGCATGGCTTGAACATATCTCCCAGGTTTTACATGATGGGGACTTAATTCTCAATGGAACAGTGTTAAAAGGGGAACTTTTAAAAGGTGGTCATGAGGATTCTGTCTCCTGAATGGATTAGTACCATTATCACAGCAGCAAGTTCATTATCATGTGGGTTGGTTCCTTTTAAGGGATGAATTCGTGAGTTCAACCCCTTTCTCTCCCTCTCCTGCACCCCTCTCTCTTTCACATTGTGATGCCTTCTGCCATGTTATGATGCAGCAAGTAAGCCTTCTGCAGGTTTAGCTCCTCAATCTTGGATTTGCAAACCTCCAGAACCACCAGGAGCCAAATAAATTTCCATCTATTGTAAGTTCATTCAGTCTGTGGTATCCTGTTACAACAGCATAAAAAAGACTGAAATTGTTACATCAAAATCTTATTTCTTTGTTGTTATTGTTGTTGTTTACTAGGAAGACACTTAAGCCAGGCTCCCAATCATCAGATGTCCTGTATATTTTATAATCTTTAGATATATTGGTTGACAAACATTGTGGTTTTGTTATTTGATTCTTTTAGTTGCTACCAACAGTGGAAAGTACCCCTGTGTCTGTCATATTCAACTTTTTCTAACTAGCTGTCTGTATGCAAGCTTTGGATTGTGATTCTGTGTGGGAAAATTCTGGCCTGTTGGCCTTGTTCTTAATGGGTTATGTATTGGGTCAAGGATTGTGGCCACCAATGTTTGGAATGGCATGTGCTCTTGTGCAAATCTCTAAGGAAAGGGAAGAAAAGTAGTATTCACTAGTAAGATTTCAATTCTGAATCAGACCCTATGCTGGATCCTACTATTAGTGTGATTTACTCCTTTAGTTACCGTGCATGGTGGCCACCTTAGTCCTTGTTTTGGAAATGAGGAAACTGAGTAGACTAAGGGTCACACAGAATCAAAATTAAGATTTAATCCAAAGGAGTTGTCTTATTCTATTTTGTATTGCTGAAATTGAATAGCACAAAGTAGGTAACTTATAAATAGAAGAAACCTATTTCTCAGAATATTGGAGGCTGAAAAGTCCAAGGTCAAGGGGCTGCATATGATGAGAACCTTATTGCTATTTCATAACATGACACTGGGGATGACATGATGAGAAAGCCCATGAAAGAGGGCCAGGGCAAGAGCAAGAGAAAGCCAAGAAAGTTGAGTATATTTTTACAACAACCCACTCTCCCCATTACTAAGCCACTCCTGCCACAATACCATTGATCCATTCAAAACAGTGGAGCCCTTATTAGCCATGTCCCAATTACCATCACAGTGGCACTTACATTTCAACATGTGCTTTGAAGGCATTTTAGTCAGCTTTTTCATTGCTGTGACTGAAAGATCCAACCAGAATAACTTTAAAGGAGGAAAAGTTTATTTGGGGACCCACAGTTTCAGAGACCTCAATGCACAGACAGCAGGTTTCATTCCTCAGGGCTGGAGGTGAGGCTGGACATCATGGGGGAAGAGTGTGGCAGAGAGAAGCAGCTCACAAGATGATCAGGAAGCAGAGAGAGACTCCACTCACAAAACCATGCCCCAATTCCCACCTACTCCAGTCACACCCTACTACTTCAATTACCACTCAGTGAATCCCTATTAGGGGATTAATTCACTGATTGGGTTAAGTCTCTTATACCCCAATCATTTCTCCTCTGAGAAATGCAAGAGCATTGTCTCACGCGTGAGCTTTTGGAGGACACCTCACATCCAAACCATAACAGAAGGGGAGACTCAAATTATTAGCCCATTGGGTTAATGTTACCATTTATGAGAGAATATAACAAAAAGAGAAATATGGGGAGAAAAATCTGTATAAAACTGCTAAACTCACTAAATTATGTTTGTTTTTTTCCAAAGCCCCCTGGAAAGCAATGTATTTTCTGCCCTTGATTAAGTTCCCATTAGAAACAAATCTAATGGCTGAAGCAGAACAGGCAGTGAATATAACAGGACAAGGAGGTAGCACCTCATATAGACACCTATTTGTTGTAATATCTCTATATCAAAAACTGCTTGTCATGGGAATTCCAACCCAGGTCGGGGGTGAGAATGAAGGAAGAGGATACCTGGCCAAGCAGATTGAACTACGTAGCTGGTCCTGCTCATTTCATGCCTGCTGCCTCTCCAGGTGCCTTCTCTAGAGTGGGGACTCAATAGGAAACATAAGAACTTGACTCTAATTAAAGTGCTTTTATATTAACATCCATGTCCAGCAGTGAGTGATGAAATTATAGAGTTGTGGTCAACATTTTTTAAAAGTAGGATAGCATAGTGCAGAAAATGAAATACCAGGATTAACAGTATAAAACAAGTGTAAGCATTGTATTTTGAAATTTTTATGTGTGTGTGAGCTTGTGTGAGCATACATGTATATAGATGTATACATGTGGAACTATATACATACATACATAAATACACAATGAATATATGCATTCACATTATATATTTATATCATATGAATGATATAAATGAATGCTAGATTACTAGATCACATGGATTTGCCATTCATTCCCTGGCCAAAGAAAACTTATTCTATTATACTGGAACTTGGTTTTCTATCTGTAAAATTGGGACAGGAATGCTCCCTAACTCCTTGAAATATAATCAAGTAATTACTGTTTCTTTTATGAATCTGTGAGAACAAATGACACTTTATTGAAAATTAACTGTTCATCTTATAACCATATCATATGACCAGTACTTTGAAAAAGGAAAAGGATACTTCCGAGTGGTGAAATTATAGTTTTTGAAAAATATTTGTGTTCTCTTTATGTGCTATTATCTGTAGTATCACATCCTTTATAAGGAGAAAACTGTGGATATATCTTTAAATTCAAGTAAGTCTTCAACGTTCTTCATATTACACTGGAAACTGTTACCACAAAGGCCTTAGAATAAAAAAGAGAGCAAAGATTAAAAAATGGCAGAACAACTTCTGGGGGCAAAAAATCTTTTGGATATTGAGTTCAGCCCCTTTCTCTCCCTCTTGTTGATAGGGACCATGACAGGAGGTAAGTGCCTATTTTGTGGACATTTCCCACTGCCTGCCTCCAACCAACACCAGGCTTGGGAGGGTTGGGGTGGATGAACAATTGAAGTACACTCAAGCTTATTACTCCATAAATGCCTGAACAACAAGGAATTGTGTGTGTGTTGGGCTTTTCCTGGTAGGAAAGACCTCTCTCAATGCCCTTGCTGATAAAGACAGCAACTTGAAAGTGTTGTCAGAATAGTTAGACTACAGTAATTCTGAAGTAAAGACATATGAGGCCCCAAGATTCCAGCACTGGTTCACTTGGAAAAATTTGTTGTGGCCCTTTGTCCCTTTAACTCACCTCTGTTATGGGATATAACTGAGTGTGTTGTTTGAGACAGAAAGCAGAAGAGGAATGGGCAAAATAAATCATACCACTCTCATCTCCTTTCCAAGGTTTTCTCCCTCAAATTTCATTGGCTCTGAAGAACACTGGTACTATTTCGACCCTGTATTCCTATCTGTCACAAAAAATTGCTTTGCTAAACACTTAAAACTCCAAACTGACTGAAATGGTATTTTGGAAGCATTACTATAGCAAGAATTAATATTTGCTATTCTTAAGCATGAAGAACTATACCAAATGTTTTACAGATGCCACTTCTTTAGTCCTCACAATAACCCATGAAGCCTATACTCAGATTGTTCCCACTTCATGGATGAGGAAACAAGGCACAGAGGGAAAGTGAATGTAGCACAGCCTTGAGAGCCATGCTAAGGACTTTGAGTTTTGTTTTATGAAGGGGAGTGCCATAATTATATCTGTTTTGAGAGATAATTTAGGTAAGAATGCATGAGAGCTATACAGGAAGTGATAAGCACCAAGTTGATGAAAACTAAACAGGAGACCGTTGTTCACTCTCTTTCCCCATAGACTGCAGCCCTGCAGAACTATGAGCTTCTGTCCAAATATGCCGAGGACTTAACGATCATGCATCTTTCTGTCTAGTTTTTCATGTTGTGGTAGTACCACTCTTCCCTTTGACCCACTAGCAAACCCTAATCCATCTACAAGAGCCAGTTTATGGGGTCATTCCTTTCTGAAGCATGGGCTACCATGCTACTTGCTTGTGTGAAAGCACAATGTGAAACCCAGAGCAGGGAGATAGGAACCAGACTGATTTATACAGCTTCTAACAAGCTGTGGCCTTTCCTAGACAGTGTGGGTATAGAAATTTTAGATGATGTTTTGGCACTTCATAAGCCTTTAGAAATTGTGTCTATTTTAATTAATTTCTCATCCTAAGGTGTCCCTTTTCCCCAAGAGACTGAATGGCATCATAGTCTCATTTCCCTTAGGAGTTTAAACATACCATTATCCAAACACTTTCATCTTAGATCAAAATTGCCTTAGTTCCTAAGCCAGCATCTGTGGCTTCCTTCTGCCTTAACTAGATTTTGCCTTCTTGCCTATTGTGGTAGGCTGAATAATGTCCCCAACCCCCAAGATTCCCATGGCTCGATGCCTGAAACCTATGACTAGGTTACCTCATATGGCCAGAAAAAAAGTTGACACATGTGTTAGGATGTTAAGATAGTAAGGTTATTCTGGTTGATCCAATTGGGCCCAATGTGTACACACAGCTTCTTATTAGAGAATGTCAGAGGAGAGGGCAGATGTGACAACAAAAGCTGAGGCTGGAATGATAAGCTTCAAACTTGGAAGAAAGGGCCCCAAGCCAAGGAATGGAGGTGGCTTCTAGTGGCTGAGAAAGGTAAGGAGAAAGACTGCCCTCTAAAGCCAGAAGGAACACAGCCCTGAGGACATGTTGAGTTCAGCCCATTAAGACTTATTTTGAATTTGTGATCTTCAGGACTGTGAGAAATAGATTTGTGTTGTGTAAGTCACTGAGTTTGTGAGAATTTGTTACACAAGCAATAGTTAACTAATATACCCATGTTGCAACATCTTCTTTTCTCCCCAAAGTGTAGTAACATCTTCCCAAAATGTGAATGAAAACATCAGCTTGCACTGCTCCTGGTTCCATGGCTGTTGAACATGTAATATTAACACCTCTAATGCTAGGGAATGCAAGGGAGAATACTTAACTGCAAATAAGGCAACTCCTCCACCTGAAAATGCCCAGGGAAAAAAATTTCTATTCAAGACATCTGCATGCTTAGAGGAATACTAACATATAAATATAATAAGAACAAAACTGGTAGGTTTGCAAAATAGGGATCCATTGTAGGCAGCAATATGAATACAAAAACTGTTTTTAATTTTCATTTTTGTAGAATATCAACATTTTCAAAAAACTTATAAAGATTAAGCTATTTTAATGCAGTTTCTCAAAGTATTAATAGAGTAACATTAACTATTCTTTTCAAATTGTATTTTTATTAATTTTCTAATAATAATGTAGTAGAGTCTAAGTCTTAAAGGGATAAAATCAGGGTCTGACTTATTTAGTTAATTAAAAAAAACCCTAGGAAACTAGTAATGATTAAATGCTATTATTAACACAACTAAGAAATGCAGGAAATATGCATTTATGAAATAATACAGTCACCTATACATGCAAATATCTATCAGCCAACATGTAGCACCAAGCAAATTTATTCCTTATAAAACAAACCCTTCTTCAAAACATTTTTTTTTGCTTAAAATTCTGGAGGTGTTTTCTTGTAAGAAAAAAATGATATGACATCACTATTTTCTCCTCTATTATGAAGCAATATTTTGACGAAATCACACCTTGATTCATATTATTTATTTATTTAAGATTTGAAGGATAATATAAGCATTAGAAGATGCTTTTTTAATTAGAGCGAATGTGTGTGTATGTGTGTGGTGGGTGTAACACCCAAACATGTTATATAGCAAAGTATACATTTAGCCAGGTAGAAACTACCTCTTCATGAGTTTTCCAATTAATGCCTTAAAGAAGGAGACTTGCCCTGCAAGGCAAACTCTACTCCCACTCTTCAGTGTAGCTCTGCAGGAAAAAGAGAAGAGATGCACCTTTTGGTCCCTGGATTCCAAAACAAGATCAGACAGAGGGACAGAGGGACAAAGGGCAGCACTAACTGTACAGGGCCAGAACTCACATCATCTGGGCGGTGGCACAGTGGGGTCCTGGCTTGATCATCTCCAGGTTGGTGATGTCCTTGGCATTGACTTTGTACCTGGTCTTTGCACACATGCACTGAAACTCCCTATCTTCTTCAGGGTCCTCTGAGGGTGACAGAAAGGGTGAGGAGCCAGGAGTAGGGGAGGGAGGAGGATTTCAGGAGTGGCCAGAGGCACCTTGCCAATCTCCCTGCCCCACCCCCACCCCTGCCCTTGTCCTTCATTTCCTTAGCCACCAATTGCATTTCCAGAGGGAAGGTATATTGACTCCATGGCAGCGAGCTTGTGCAGAGCTTGGCACAGTGCTGGCACACTTTGCAAGCCCAGGACAATAGAGCTGGAACCCTTAACTTTAAGGACACTGCCTCAGCACTCCGGGGGTTCCTGGATTCAATCCTGCTGCTCCCATGGGTCAGTCCCTCCCCTCTTTGCTTCTGCTCTCACCACCACTGGCGACTTTGACCACAGCTGATAGGAGCAATAGCCCCAGGAGCAGCAGCCTGGGTTTGAGCTGGCTGTAGAGGCTGCAGGAGCGCAATGTGAGGCCCATGTCCTGGAGTTTCCAGCAGGATCCGAGTGCTCAGGGCAAGTGGGGGCTAGGGTTCCCAGGCCCGAGGCTCCAGCGATGTCCCCACCTTTTTTATCCCTCCTGCTGGTCCAGTCCGGAAACCTGGGATGGGGAATGAGGAACTGGGGTGCGGAAGCTAAGTCATTTCAGAGAAGAGTTGGGCTCTAGCCAGGCAAGATTAAATAAAACAACCCAAAAAAGGGCTAGAGTCAGCTGCCTTGGCCTTAAGTTGGCAGCAGGAGTCACATCTCCAACCCTAACTGAAATATGCACACATTTATGTAGTTTAAAATACTAGTACTCAATCTTATAAGGTCTATGTTTTCTTTATGTGGAATCACAGAGCGCTCTGTGGTCACCATGCAGTTTACACAGTGTATACCTTTGAGACCCAGACAATTTCTGTTTCCTTCTTAACTAGCTCCTGCATTACCAAAAACTGCCCTTAGACCCTGCCTTTCTGGTTGACTTCTGTTGAGTTTGGCTACTACTGTGTAGTTAAAGCTGTGTTGTTTGTAATTGTTTTCTGCTATTGAAAAGTGCAATTCATTCTCTAGGCAATGACTGTCTTCAGAATTTCACCTGAATGTGGAAGCCTTCTCCAGTCTCTTGGATGAGATTTACCAGCATCACTAACCATCTTCCCATATACTGTAAGAAACGAGGTCAATTATCCTCATTACTCATAATTTTACATATATTACAAAAGTTGTATTTGATTTTTTTAAAAAAATATTGGAGCTTGAATTATTCTCCATTTGTCTTCATCCCAGATAATATTCCAGAAGAGAGAACAGGAGAGTTTGGTGGGCCATGTGTCCCAGTCCCAGTGAAGGGTGAGATGGGCTGTATTGCTGGTGGGGAACAACAATGTTCTCTGAAGGAGGATACAGAGTCTGGGAGTTGAGTGTGTAAATGATGTGGAGGTAAGGGTGGAAGGTATGTCACAGAATCCCACACAGGAAAGGTGAAGAGATCAACATGAACTGTCTTCCTTTTCTTGAAAAGGAGTGGCTTGGCTGTTATCAGGACTAGGGATATGCACATTCTAATTCTGGTATATGCTGGATTCTCTCTGTCACGCAAATTAGTAGTGGTGAAGGACATTAGGAGACTGCAGCATGGAACATCTGCAGAAATGTGCATAGTGCAAACTGAATCCCTGGGGCTGGAATGTTCTTTCTCCTATTCTCACACCACCTGTCTTTTTAGTTGGCTAAGTTCTGTTCATGTTTTTGGTATTGGTTTAGATAACAACTTCCTCAGAGGAGCCTGAAGTGACACTCTATTATGCTCCTTTGTTGTTCTCTCTTGCAGCACCCCAGCCTTTCCTGTTTCACACCATAATACACATATACATGGTATGCTCAGACGCATGTGTTGGAGTGTGTTTAACAGTGTTTAAAATGTTTTTTTCTTTTTGCCTCAATGGAAAGCTCTAGGAGGTTAGAGGTCATGGTTATCACTAATTTAGTACACTGGTAGGGGCCTAATACATATCGCTACACTGAGAATGATCAACACATGTTGAAAATGGTTATGAAGCTCTGACTCATTCATGTGTTCCCTTGTACAATTGCTGCAGATCTCTCCATACTGACATGTGCCACATATAGTTTACTCTTCTGTCCACATGTCTGCCTCTCTTAGCTGATCAGTGAGTGAGATCTTCAAGGGCAATTCTCCATGGCATATATTTAGAAAATTCAACATCTAATATAATAATGGTTGTTATAGGACATGGTGTACATCATGGTTTATGGAACTGAAACTTGAGTCTCCTTTTGGGTTAGCAGCAGAGCGAATGGAGAGGAGGAATTGTTTTGAACATGGTAAAGCAAAACATTGAATTTGTATAACCATATCCCCAGATTTTAATAATTTCAAAGTAAAGGAATCCAGGCAATAGTGTGGGGCAATAAAGTTATCCTTTCTATGCACTTACACAAAATAATACAATGTGTCCATACAACAATAATAAATGGCCTGTGTATCTTGGAGATGTAAGCATAGTGCAAACACTGTGTCATATCTCATGAGATGGCCCTGCCAACTTTTTGTAGGAAACCACTATTGACTGAGATACCCAAGCTTCTTTTGATTTTTGGATAAAAACTAATGTAAATGGCTTCAATCTTCATTTACTGTTTTGTGCCATGCTTATGTATATTTTTGTTACCTATTACATAATAAGTGTATTTATTTTATAGGCAAAACATTTTAAGGCACTGAAGTTATGACAGTGAGGAGATAATATAAGGAGCCCTTAATAAAGCAAAGTTGAAATGAACTACATTCTTAGTAGGTAAATGTTTCCTAAAGTCCCTTTATAGGTCAGAATTGGTGAACTTACTTATATTCCTATGATCAATACTGTACACACAGTATGGTATTTGTGTATTAAATACTATTTTCTGTGTCTACAACACTATGTGAAAAATAATATAATTTTGGTAGAGAAAGAAGAATCCAGGAAAGTGGTATGGTATAGTGGGTTAGAATACGATTTCAAATCCTCACTATGATCACTCTGCTCACTTAGTATCTGATGTTGGGGTGAGTTTCTGTTCTTTATTTCACCCTATCTTTCTTTTTTTTTTCATTGTTGGGGATTAAAACCCCAAGCCTCATACATGGTGGGCAAGTACTCTATCACTAAACTCTATCCCCAGCCCAGTGTAAATTTCTTCAGAGCCATCTTCAGATTTCTTCTTTGCAGTACTACTAGTAACAATAGTAAACAGTTACTAATATTTATTTGTATGACATTCATTGTTTTAAGCACTTTGAATTTAACACCTCTTACTCCTCACATCAGCTCTCTGAGATAGGCAATTACATGATCACCATCTGAGAGATGATGCAATCCAATCAAAGTCAAACAGCCAACAAGTGGGGGAGCCAGGTTACCTAATTATTCTGGCTCTAGAGAAAAGACTCTTAATCAGATCATTGCCATCTTGTCAGAACTATTTGATCAATGTATGTAAAACACTATGCCTGGCCTTTTAATAGTGATTAGTATTTTCTGATTAATATATCATGTAAAAATCACAGAGATTATCAACTTTGTGAATTTTGTTGGCAATATTGTAAAATACCAAAGTGTAAAACAAAAAAGAGAGAGAGAGAGAGAATTAAAACTCTTTCTCCAAGTCTGTAAATTGATAATATATGATAAATAAATAAATAACATTTCGGTTCATGTTCATATTTCTTTTAAAATAGCAAGGGTGTAAATTTTATGGATTTAGAAATTGATGAAGAATATTGATTTTAAAAAGAACAATTAATAGTCTAGTAAAGTTTAAATTCTCTGTTGTACTTATTTGTAAGTCCAATTCTAATACTGAAATTGTAATTATGCACACATTATGTAAAGGCAAATATATACAAAATGTCAGAGTAAAACATTAATATAAAATAAAATGTATCATTTTCTGTCTTTTCTGTTTCAAGAAATGCGAGAGTGTTTTTAATAAAGAATGTCAAGGTTTTCTTCACCATATATTTTCTTGTTCTACTAGTGTTAAGTGTATTCCCTTTAAAGTAAATAACCATTGCTTACAAGACTTACATTCTACAACTTTATTATTTTTAGAGTTTTAAGGCAAAATAAACATTAGAAAAGTTTCCAAAGGATACTTTTAAACAAGCCATCTAGAACAAAAACATTGAAAATCTCTATTGCCTAAATACACTTAAAATGCATTTATTGAGCAAATATTCCATGCTTGGCTCTGCATGATCACTAGTGTCATTGACTATTGTAAAATCTGTTAATCAACATAGGAACTTTGAACATAACAATAGAGAAAGAAAATTACACAAATGTATTTGGAAAGAAATTTTCAACTAAAGAAATGTAAAGCAAGTACAGTGTTTAGCCAAAAACTGGAGAGTAAACCTTAAATTATATGTTAGTCTTGCTCATTTTCATCTTCTCTCTGTCATCTTTTAGGCAGAGTTCTCACAGTCAAGTAGGATTTGGAGGACAGAATGGAAAATGTACCTGAATTTTTGTATAGTAAAAATGAGTGTATGAGTTAATAACTCTAGAAAGTCAAGGCTTCAAAATCCTACCCTTCCTGGGAGATTAAAAAGGGGTTGGTAGAAAATAAACAGATTAAGCAGCTGATTCATCACTTTCCAACAGTTTCTGGATCATTTTCTTGACTCTGGGAGCTTCTGGGTCCAGACAGATTTCCCTCCCATCCTTCAGTGTAGCTCTGCAAGACAAAACACAATTATCTGTGAGTATCCTAGGTTGGAACAGATCCATGAGACTGGAGAAAGTAGTGTAGGTGGGAGGAGTTGGAGGGCTTCCTTAATGAAGCAGTGATACAGAAGAAGGAACTTACATCACTTCAACTTTGGCACAGTGGGCCCCTGGTCTGATCACTTCCAAATTTTGGATGTTACTCGGATGAATTCCAGAGATCGTCTTCACACATATGCATCGCAGTTCAACATATGGTTCTACACTTTTGACTATGAGAGAACATAAAACTCTATTAGTGGTCATGGTTATTTTCCTCAGTTTCTTTATTTGTAAATTCAGGGTAATTGAACCACTCCCATAAGACAATGGCATATAATTGATAAACCTTTAGTAATATGGCTAGCAGATTGCATAGCACAACACATCTGTAATGCCCACTAAGCTCAGCTCCTTCACTTAGGGTCACTAGTATAAAGGCATTTGCTAGCCCTAGAAGGGCCAGGATAGTCATCCCCTCAAGTCCCCCCTGCACAACTGCAACAAAACAGCTATAGCTGCTGGACAGCAGAGGCTCTAGATTCACCTTTCCCTAAATTTCTCCTGCGTTGTCCAGTGGTAGAGGGAACCAGCACAGTCAGGAACAGTGACAGCAGCAGCAACACCTGCAGGACACGAACCGGTCTGGTATTGGTACAGAAGGAGGTGGCACTGGGTCTGAGGCTCATGGTGCAGAAGACAGAGCTAGAGCTGTTTCCAGAGCCAGGAGACCACAGCCTGAAGGTGCGTTGCTGCCTAGAAGTCTGCAGCTAAGTGGCTTTATATGCCCTCCAGATGTCTTTGATATGACTGCTTCAAGACCAGTAAGGAGGAAGAAGTTAGGAAAGGGGAAGTGAGGGTGTGTACTGATAGACCCGTAAATGCATGCTTAAGTCATACCACCCAGAAAACATCAGACAGATCAAAATTCCTGCTAAATTAGTTGCATTTTATGAGTCATTTCACATCCCTACTCTCCTTTTCTCAATACATATATCCCTTACATACATATAAGCACTCTACTTAGGGAGGTAAGAACCAGATTAAAATACTGCATGTCTTTTCTTTGTATCAACTGGGTAACAATATGCCTGCCTCTCCTATGATACAGTTTATAGGCTTAATAGATATTTGGTGAACATCTGAAGACATAAGCATGTGGCCCCTGAAGAAAGAGAGTTGTTTCCTTTTACAAATGGCAAAGAAAGCAGATATTTTGGTCTTGGCTGTTGAAAAATGTCAGGATTTGTTTGAAGTATGTGGATAAAATATGAGCCAATTACCACCAAAGGCTCACCTTGGATATTAGTTGATGGGTTTCTTTCTGCCTTCTGAATAAATTACATTTTGTAATTTCATTAAGAAAGTAGAAGCAGACACATTCTCCTTTGAATTATAAAATAAGCTACTTATTTTTACCATCTGAGTATACCCCAGAGAAAGAAACAGCACATTTTTCTTTTTATTTTTAATCAAACAAAGATAAATAACATAATCTGTTGTAAAAAATTCCTATACAGTGCATATATGTGGAATAAAATGTTCAAGCTCCTCTTCATACTTAACTCCATATTATTGCTCTTATAGAAATCACCATTAACAATTTGGCATTTGTTTTATATTCTATCTACATTCATTTATACACATAAACATATACAGAAAGGCATATATAACACATAGATAAAACATACATAGAGATAGGCATAGTCCTTTTTTTATAAGTGGAATCATTCTGTTGGGATCATTATACAGCTTACTCTTGTCTTTCAAAAGCAATGAGTGAAACACAAAGGATTTAAACATTTTTTATGCTCTCCTTCTTTTTCTGCCCATCACAACCCTCCAAAACATATTGTAAATGATATTTATTGGCCCACCAAACACTTTTATTCTCTCAATACTTAATTCTACCCAAACTTCTTTTGTGTTTTATTTAGTTAGATTATTCAACAATCCTTAATCCATTGGAGGAAAAGATGTAGAACATCTTATGAATTAGTGGTACTACTTGAGTTGATTGGTAGCAGGAAAGGCGTGAGCATGTAGCATAATAACATTACATCAGTATTAATCAACAAATGTGTCTTGTCACACACACACAAAATCACATCATCAACAAGATTCATGAGGAAGTACTAACAAAGTCCATTTCATTAAAATTTCAACTTCTTTTTAGTGCATATTTAAGGTAAAACAACTTTTTACTAGTTTCTCTTTATTCAAGAAATAACGATTAAGTATCTATTATGTGCAAGGCATTATAAAATTTTCATTGAATTTATTCGTTTAACTCTTTTTTAAAAAAGTAAGTCCTAAAATATTTGCACAAAAAAATGAGATAAAAATGAATTGGATACTACTACAATTACTTTGACTACTGCTGTTAACTGCTATTTCTGTTACAATTTT